AGCCTCTCATCCTCCGCATCTCTGGCCTGTACCCCAGTTCTGTATGTACAAATAAATAAATCTTTTTAAAAAATACATTTATCTGGTTTCTTTTAAAAAATGCATTTTAAAAATGGAGAGAACATTATATTTTTCTTCCCAGTTTTATTGAGATATTTTTATGATATATATCTTGTGATTTGATGCACATTTATATTGCTAAATGATTATCACAATAAGTTTAACACCTCTATCACATTGCATAATTACTTTTGTGTGTGTGGTAAAAATATTTAAGACTTAATTTTCTTGTAACTGAAAATGTGAACCCTTTTATCAACATCTCCCATTTTTGCCTTTTCCTCATCACTAAACATTTTTTCCACATCTGGTAATAATAAAAAATTGTTCTTTTGCTTTTTTATTTTGATGAAATATAAACAAAAACATTTACCATTTTAGCCATTTTTGATGTATGAATCAGTGTTATTTTGCTTTTACTCCTTTTTTTCAAAAAGGAAAATACATATCATAGTCCTGAAAATATTTTTTCTAGATTTCTAACCATGATTTTTAACCCTCCAGCACTTTAAAGATGCCTTTTAACTTCTTTCTGGTCTCCATTGTTTCTGACAAGAAATAGCATTTCCTTATATATAGTGTATATTTTTCTCTAGCTGTTTTTAAGATTTTTATTTGTCAGGGTGTGGTTTTCTTTGTATTTATCCCACTTAAAGTTTCTGGACTTCGTGAGTCTCTACATGCTTTTCACCAAACTTAAAAATCAATTTATTTTCATTTTTTTTTCTGCCCTAATATCTCTTGTTATTTGGGGCTCCAATTACTGTAATTATAGTTTTTGACATTATCCCACAGGTCACCAATGGGTTTTCTTTACTTATCCAATCTCCCCCCTCCTTATTTTCAGATCACAGCATTCCTGTTGCCCTACCTTCAAGTTGTTTTGCTGAATTTTTTTTCTCATATTGTATTTTTCAGTTCTAGATTTTCTCTTGGTTCCTTATTTTAATAACTTCTTTTTCTGTTCAATATTCATATCTGTTTATTCACCGTGATCATCATCTTTACTTACTGAGCATAATTAAAATTCCTGCCTGCTAATTCTGGTACTGGGACATCTTGGATAAATCTGTTGACTGATTTTCATCTTGTATCTAATTCATATTTCCTCATTTCTTCACATGTTTATGAATTTTGGAATACATCTTGATATTGTGGAAGTTCTGGATTCTGTCTTGTTCCTTCAAAGGTCAGTCAGAATATAGAATTTAGAGGTCCCTTTTTTTGTGGCTCTAAACCTCCCTTACTTTCCAGATGCTACCATCATCCTAAACTTCTATTTTTCAATCAGTAAAATTGAAGGTTTCCATCAGAGTTTTAGTAGTCCATGGAGTTATTCACTGAGATATTCACTCAGGTAAAAAAGCTAAAAAAATTAAAACTCACTTATGCTATTTCCTGCTTCCTGAAACCAACTCTTCAGTTTCTTACTACTGTGTGTCAGAAATCTTTATATTATTATTATTTTTAATTTATTTATTGATGTATACAGATCTGAGGTAAGGCCAGAGATACAGGAGAGGTGAGAGGATTCACCAGAGACAGAGTGGGGAGCAGAACAGGTAGATCTACTGAAATATACAGCTGAGGGAGCAGCAGGCGAGAGAGCAGAGGTCTGCTGTGCCATGTGGATCACCTCCCTGCCTGGGATCAAACTCCAAGTGGCTGTGGCTAGTTTCACAGAGCTGGGCTTTAACCTGTTGCATCAACAGAAATCTTTAGATGATTGTTTGGCTATTGTCTGTATGACACTCTAATTCTAACTGTTATTGATAACTGTTGGAAGCAGACTCTCCTCCAGTATAACCTGCTCTTTCCTATTTCTTCTCCCAATACTCTGATCTCTAGCCATACTCAAATATTTGAAGTTTCCAGAACAGGCCATATTCTTTTTGTCTCTGGGCCTTGGTACCTTCTTTTCTGCTTTTGCATACTTCACTCTAAGTATCTTCTGCTTCAGTCTTCAGGATTCAGCATAAATATTGCCTCTTGTAGAATTTTATTGGTCAGGAGCAATTCAGGTTACAGAAAAATTCATTTGCTAACAAGTCAAAAAGGGAGGGAGATTCAGTGTAAGAGTACAGAGATTCCCTCAAACCTCAAAACAGCAATCCAGTGAGTTCTCAGGAACCAACCAAAACTGGGCACCATATTTCATTGGGACTTTGTCTCCTTTCTGGTATCTTCTCTCTGCCCATCTGAGGGATTCCTACTCTTAAAATTGAGTTTTCCTCCTAAGGTAGCTTTGCTAGTGCCCATTTACTTCACTTTCTTCCCCTCTTAAGTTCCTTAAGAGTGGAACTATTACTTTACTAATTTTCTTATTCCCAGAATTGGGCAGAGTACAACACAGTTTCACAGGAGGTTTAAAAAAAAAAAAAAAAAAAAAAAGGCAGGGTATCCCTGGTGGCATAGTGATTAAAGTTCTAGTGCAATCAAGCTATCACCAGTCACTGCTCATGAGTTCGATCCTCAGCCAGGGAGGTGACCCACATGGCACAGCAGACCTCTCCTGTCTTTCCCACCGCTCCCCTCAGCAGTGCATTTCAGTAGATCTATCTGTTCTGCTCCCCACACTGTCTCTGTCTCTGCCTCTCATCCCCTGCATTTCTGGTCTACACCCATGTTCTTGTATGCATAAATAAATAAAAACAAATCTTTTTTTAAAAGGCAAACAAATAAACTCACCTTTAATATACACCCCAGCAAATGTTACAACATATGTTTTCAAGGTAGTTTAGGAACTGGAGGAGGAAAGGCCCACATCTCCATCTGGACAGTCAGGAAAGATGCCCGGTGGTGTTCATTCTCTAATTGGGGGAGTCCAAAAGAAAATCCCATAAAAAGCAAAGAATCTCTTGGCCCTCCCTGGTGGCACAGCGGGTTAAAGCACAGCACTGACAATCTAAAGCCGCTTCCGCATGAGTTCGATTCCCGCCTGCCCCGGAGGTGACCACATGGCGCGGCAGACCTCTCCTGGCCCGCCCGCTGCTCCCCTCAGTGTACTTCGTCGATCTGCCTGTTCTGCTCCCCACTCTGTCTCTGGTGAAGCCTCTCACCGCCCCTGAGCCTCTGGCCTGTACCCCAGTTCTGTATGCAAAATAAGTAAATAAATCTTAAAAAAAAAAAAAAAAAAGCAAAGAATCTCTTAAAGACCCTCCCTATCTACTGGGTCTTTATAGAAATGAAGAATGAACATCACAGTCTTTTCCCAAATCTCTCCAAGAGACAAAGAATCACCTAGTAGAGAACTTTCTTAACATTTCAGCCATTGGGGAATTTTTTCAGTTCCTCTTTCCCATGAAGGAACCTCTGAACTTTTCTCCCCTCAGCACAGTGTTCCCATCACCTCTTGACTAACCTCTCAACAGCCTTAAGGTTCCATATCAAAGGCTCTTTCTGGAGAGGAAGGAAGTTTCTCTCTGGCCCTCTGTTAGTGAACCCTGTTGCCACACACTCTCCAGCATCCCCTACTTCCCCTTTGTGAACACTGCCCACTGTCCCCCATCTGTCCCCCTGTAGCTTCTGATTCCTGCCTATTCCCAGGGCTTGGCCCATAGCCTGACACCTTGCAGCTGCTCAAAAAAAGTTTCTGCAGGCCTCCCTGGTGGTACAATGGGTTAAAGCACAGCACTGCAAGCTAGCCACAGCTGCTTCAGTGTGAGTTCGATCCCCGCCCAGGAGGTGACTCACATGGCCGGGCAGACCTCTCCTGACTCACCCGCTGCTCCTCTCAGCAGTGTACTTCGTCAGTCTGCCTGTTCTGTTCCCCACTCACTCTCTGTCACTGCCCCTGCACCTCTGGCCTTTGCCCCAGTTCTGTATGCATAAATAAATAAAACTTTAAAAAAATGTTTCTTCCATTGACTTTCAATAGCTAGTACATGTTTTCATCTGAAACAGGAAAATTAAGGCACAGAATTGGGAAGGCGAGTTCCCCAACAGGCAGAGGCAAGGTCAGTGAGGAGACAGCAGCTGAGACTTACTCCCTAGGCCTCTGGGGAGTGCCTCTGCACCTTGGGGTCCAGTGGAGTGGTCTCCTTGGCTTGTTTCTCTCCTTGCAGGGTCGGTGATGATCAATGCAGATGTTGCATTGGCTCATCTAGGTGTTTCTATCTTCTAAAATGTGCACAAAGACATAATACCCCAGGGACATTTTCAATACATTTAGAAAATGACTGCTTTTAAAGGAGTAAAAAGTGGATGTTCATGGATGGTGCTGGAAGGGATCATGCTTAGTAAAATAAGCCAGAAAGAAAAAGAAAAATACTAGATAGTTTCACTCATGGCAGGAGCATAAAGGACCAGGGGGGAAAAAATAACAATGATGAACAACTATATACCAGAGACATTTTACAGAAGTGGGGAATGGGATCAGAAATAGGGGATGGCACACGGGTGAACTGGTGATGGGAATCCACAGGGATTGCAGCTGAGAGGGAAAAAGGCACAAAATGACATAAAAATAAACTATTATAAAAATAATAAGAAGTGGATGTCTAAATTTTTTTCCTCCAACTTTTAAATTTGAATGCTTTTAAATTTATAGGCAATTTGCATAATCTATTTCATCTAGATTCATTGGTTGCTAACATGCTACAAACAAAGCATGTATGTACACACACACAGACATACTTCTTGTCTTCCCACATATATACACACACTCACAAACACACATCATAACATGCATATATATATGTATACACACACACACACACACATATATATATACGCTACATATATACGTACAGACACCTATTTTTGATGATCCCTTTAAGAGTCCATTGTAGCATTACATGTGGGCCCTAAGCATGTCAGCATCTTTAGCATAATCTCAAGATACTCTTAGCTAACAGCCACCCACATCCAAACCCTCCTAGTTCTCTCAGGCATACCCCTTAGAGCTGGCTTTTGTCCTTTAAATCCCAAATTCAGTGAAGAGTCATGAGTTGCATTTGGTTACCAAGTCCCTTTAATCTATACCAGTTTCCAGACTACTTTATCTTTCCTGATATTGACATTTTTGAAGAGTCCATGCCAGTTGTTGAATGGGGTTTCCAATGTGGGTTTTTAATGACTATTTCCTCATGGTTAGATTCAGATTAAACTTTTTGAGCACGTATGTCACTTGTGTGATGCTGTGCGTGTCTTTCATTGCAATACCTTCACTTCAGAGGTCCTGGGCCTTGAGATCACTTCTCCAGAACTCCAGAGATGGACCATGGAGAGGCCCAGGATGCTGGCTGCTAAAGGCCAGGCTTTAGTCCTGGCAGAGTTCACTGCCAGCCAAGCTGCTGACTGCGGGCACTCCTGCTGGGCAGCTGGGGTCAAAAGGAGAACTTCTCATTCCCAACATGAGCTCCGGGTGGCCAGTGGCCAATGGGTCACCTGCTGCTGTTGTCACACTCTGTTGATACAGCTGCAAAGGGAAGGAGAAAAGTGCTGAGGGGGTGGCTGGAAGGGACAGGAAGGGGATGGGGCACAAGTCAGGGGGCAGGCTGGCCCTCTCTCATGGCGCAGTGGGTTGGAGTGCTGCACTTCCAAGTTAAGCCAAACTGTGGCTGCTTCAGTGCCAGTTGGATCCCCGGCCCCAGAGGTGATCCTCATGGCACAGCTGACCTCTCCTGACCCGCCCACTGCTCCCCTCAGCAGTGTACTTCCTCCATCTGCCTGTTCTGCTCCCCACTCAGTCTGATGAATCCTCTCATCACCCCTGCACCTCTGGCTTGTACCCCAATTTTGTACGCATAAATAAATAAAATCTTAAAAAAAAAAAAAGTCAGGGGAAGCCAGAATGAAAGGCTGAGAGCCAGGGGACACACATACCAGAGAAGTAGACAAAAGCAGAGAGACTCAGACACACGGGGCCACAGAGGAAATCAAGCTGTGCTGATGAGCTTCCCTAACACCTTGGGAAAGAGTTTCTCCAGGTAGACTCAAAGGGTACAAGGCTTTCTCCCAAGGGTAGTGTGGTCACCTGTCCAGGCCGTACTTTTCCAAACAGAGAACTTCTATTTTTGCCCATGAAGCCAGACCCTGGGCCAAAAGTTTCTGCTCTGACTCAAAATGTCTCCCTTTTTTCCACGGGGCAGATAAGGAAGCCTGCCTTTCACACATCTGGGATAAATCAGGGGGACAGACCAGAGACAAAAGGAGGGCCCAGAGGGGAAAAGGCCACTAAAAATAGCCTTCCTGCTGTGAGTGGGGAGGAATGCAAAATCCTAGGAGCTGCCCAGTGGGTGTAATTTCAGCTAATAATAACAGGCCCTTGTTTTCTCATGAGAAAAGGGACTGGAGATGGGTGGTGGGGAGGGAGTTGGAGGGAGGGAGGGAGAGGGCTTCTTGGCTCCTAGATTGAGCAGCTAGAGCAGGGGATCCAACTAAGGTTCTTCTAGGCCAGATGCCTCCAGATGGGGTGGGGTGGGGGAGGGGGTAGGGTGGGGGAGGGGTGGGGGTTGGGTAGGGTAGTTTGCCTGTTAGAGGAACTAAGCCTGGACAGAAAGGGCTTTCTGGCAATAATGTGCACTGTCTGTAGTTTTCTTTGGCAGGAAAAGAAGAAAAACGGAAAGAGCGCAGTCGGGAGCCATGACCTCGTCTCAGGGCTCTCTTTTGGCAACACAGCTGAAGTCAAGTGAAGAAGCCCATTCTGTCTCCTTTTGCCAAAAAACAAAACCAAGCCCAGCTTACTGAGGTGGTTGAGGGGTGTCAAGGGGCGTGAGAGAACATCTTGGAAGCTCTCCAGCCACTCTCGCTGTTCCTTCTCGCTGGGGCAGGTGAGGAGGAATCTCCGCTGAGGTGTGACAATGGTGATGCCAGATTTCCAGCGATTCCCACGGATGCCCTTGGGCAGGTCTTCAGACACCTCGTATCCCTGTTCCTTGCTCCCAAGAAAAACCTGGCCTTGCTCAAAGGCATCCTGAAAATGGAGGACAAATTTCATCAGAGGCCACACCTGAGGCAGAGGGGGCTAACAGCCTTCAAGCTCTAGTTTAGAAAGAGGCCGGTAGGTATGTGTGAATCTCTGCTGGGGATTTCTGCAGGTGGGACCCAGAATGTGAAAAGCTGAAATGATAAACAAATCACATACATCATCTGATAAAATGATACTTAACATTTGTGGAGAGCTTATTATGCACCTGCACCGGGAATTCTAATGCTTTATAAGCAGTAACCCATTAGGGCTGCAGCTAAAAGCACTATTACGAAGCCTATTTTCTGGAAGAGGAAACTGAGGTACAGAGAGCTATGTACTCTGCCTGGGGCAGAAGCCTGAACCTGGACAGCCAAGTTCCTAATCACGAGGCTGCAGAGCCTCCAGATCAGCAGTGAGCCCTGGAGCCTAGAGGATGAGAATCAATGAATGCGCTGGCATTTTGGATACACGCGAAAACTTCTGAAGGTGAGGGCTCTCACCTTCAAGCAAAGGGGGGTGGGGTGGGGTGTGTGTGTCCAGCACCAGGTTTCTCGGGCCCTGTTGTTCCCCTATGGTCCCTAAGCTACAACGACCGCCTCTTTGTCTGAGGTGCCCTGGGAGAGGCTGCACCTCCACACGTACCAGTGGGTGCTTGTAATAGAGCAGCCTCCGCTCCTGGGGGTCCAGGGCAAACCACCTTTTCTTGAAGGGTTCTCTCTGCTGCAAAAGAGGAAACCGTTACCAGGGTTGCCAAGTAGGCGGCACATTGCTCAAAGCATCAGCCCAGCCAGGAGAGAGGTGCTGGCCAATCCCCGGGGTGCCCCGCCCTGTCCCTTTCTGCAGCGAGGCACTGCAATGTGCTTCTTGAGCCTCTGCCCAAGTGCTCACCCACTGCCAGCCTCACCCAGCTGTCTGCAGGTGCTGCATTGGTTTGGAAGAGGTTATTTCCTCTCAGGTTGTGGATGAGAGGTCTCAGAAAAAAAGGAAGTTGAGGAAATAAAAAGTGGCCACTGCTCAGCAATGCTGACAGTGCTGGCCTGAGCCAGATTTTGACCTGGGTCAGGGGAAAGAAGGCGGGAGAGGAGCCACAGGAGGAACTGTGTAGGTTGCTGGGGTGCTGCAGGGTAGGAAGAAACATGACAGTGCAAGCTCTTGACTAGATGTCAGGCTGCCTGAGGCGTCTTTCACACGGACACCATCATTCTGTCAACATAGTGTACTTAAAACACACACACACACTTCCACGCAGGCCCCCTCACTGTCCCCTCCTTTCCTTTCTCCTGTCTCCCTCCTTCCTTCCCTCAAAATCAGGCCCCTCTCCAGCCAGACATCTACCTCTGATCCTCACCCCACTCAGCACCAGGCTGAGTCTGAGATCTCCTGGGGCAGCTGAAGCCTCCACTCTTCTAGAATCTTCCTGGGGTACACAAGCATCCAGGCTTTCTCTCCACACATGAGCGGGACTGAGCAACACTGGGTGGTTGGGGCAGGTTTAGCAAATGAGAGCTGCTTGAGGGACCGAGTGTGTGCTGGGGAGGCGCCTGCCCCAAGGGGCTGTCTAGCACCAAGCTTGGTTGTGTAGGGGTGTATTCTCAGAGCTCAGCTCCTTTCTCACATGGGAGGTCCTGGTAAGCCCCCAGCACAGAGCACACAAGGTTTCAGAAAGTATAAAAGCTGTTCCCCAAACGCCCCTTGAGATGGTTCTGTCCCCGAAGTAGGGTACTAAGATACAGTTAGGAGGAAAGAAACTGATGGTGATGTCAGTAAGAAGGGAAGATGCCCATGAAGAGGGAAGTGCCTTCCTGAGTGCTGGATCTCACAGCAGCCAGCCAATCTCCCGTGGGCCTTCAACCCAGGAACTCACAAACACTGGTTTACTTCCCTTCCCTCTCTCGGTTCCCCAATTCCCCACCTTCAAAATTCTACCCTACTCCCGGCTAGGATAGAGGCTCTAAAAGTGGGGTATGTGTGTGTGGAGAAAAGGAGTAGAACATACCTTTGGGCCAGTCTTTTCCATGAAGCCTTGTTTGAGGTAGTTCCTGGTGATGAGAGGCACGAGCTAGAGAAGAGAGACATAAACTGACCCCCTGGCTCACACTCCAGAGATTCAGGGTTCTCCCAAGGAACTTGGCTCCTCTACAAAGGGGAAGTTTGGAATGGGGAAGGACCTGTACTTGTGGTTCACTGGGTTATATTTGGAAAGTGATATGGATGCAATGTTATATTTCAACAGTGAAATGCCAACTCTCCAGATGTTTGCAGAGCTGACCGGCATGGTCAAGTCCTGGTTAAGAACTTAGTTCCAGAATTTCTTCAGTGTTCCCTGCAAGTGAACACCAGCAAGGCTCTGAAGGAGACTCTTGGTGTCAGGGCCAGTCTGAGGATTTGCTGTGAGTCAGGCCCTGGGGGCAAATCTTAACCACCCTGTTGGTTGGATATTAAGACCCTCAGTGTATCAAGAGGAAACCAGGTCTCAGAGAAGAGGCTGGGGGCTGTCCCCAAGTCAAGTCCCTGCAGAATGAACAACTGGGATTCACACACAGGCCTGAAGGATACCAGGGGTGCTCCCACAGAAGGACATGTGCTAAAGTATAAACAGCCAGAGTCCTCTGCTCAGGTCAAGAGCTCTGTCGTTGTGGGGATTCTGACACAGGGCCACAGGAGGTGATGGCAGAGTGGGCAGAAAGAGAAAGTTCTAGACTAACTTTCCAGAGTTGGGAGAGCTAGCTCTAGTTCTGACCTCAACCAGTAGTATTATCTTGGTAAGACCCTATGTCCCTTTGGGGGTGCTCCTCTTTGTGTAATAAGGAGTTTGCATTACAAGATCTCCAGGATTCCTTCCAGCTTGCCATCCTACACTTACTCAGAGAAGCTTCTAAAGAGTGGTGTTGGCATCCTACACTCCAGGGGGTCATCCACAACTCTAGTGTTTCAAATGACAGCCCAGGCTTCCAAGAGCAGAGGGGGTTCTCCAGAGCTCCAGTGTCTAGGCAGGGACGAAGGTGGGTGAGTTCTGGAGAACAGCAATGGAAAGTCTAAAAGTGTAGAAAGTGTTTTACTTCCTTAAAATACTTTGTATAGATTATAGTTCCTTCATTTGAAGAAAAGACAGAGTCCTGAACTGCTGAGATGTCTGAACTTGAGCCAGGATAAGGATAGTCCAGGCCAAGGGAAAGCACTGAAAGAAGGAAAATCATAGGGTGGAGTATTCTCCTTCCTGTAGATGCCTGGGCTCACCTGCGTCTCACAATGGCCCTGGAAGGTGACAGATGAGTAAACTAAGACTCAGAGAGGTGAGGTGACTTGCCCTAGGTGACACATCAGCTTCTCTGGCCATGCCATTTCTTATGACAGGATCACAAACCCACTGGTGATCCCCAGTGTCTATCTTCTGGATCTCTAAACTTGAGCCTGGGTAACTGCCCAGAACTCCTACTGTGCATAGACTGGTATAGGAAAGATAGAGGACAGAAGCAGATGGGGAGGAGGTTGGGGTAGATGGGGGGTTATTGTGGTGGGGGAGGGAGACAAGAGGACATTGAGGATGTTGATTAAAGATCAATTTCCTCAGCAAGCTTGAAGAGCTACTGAGATAAACTAGGCAGAGCAACTGCACTTTGTCCTCCCTCCTCCATGCAGCAGTCAGCACTCTCAGCACCCCACCCACCCTTTCATCAGCTCTGGGTGCTGACTCTGCAGACCTAGGTTTGGCTGGAACTGCTCCCAGAGAATGGCCATCTCAGTGCATTGCTGGATCTGGAGTGAACACTTGGTGCCCTGCAAGCCTTGGAATGAAGAACTACTTAGGCTTTCAACGAGGACCAAGTAAGAGAGTGCCAGGACTAGGATGATCTTCACCCCCATCACCCACAGAACTGTCTCTGAGCAAGGCCTAAAACAGGGACAAGATCATGGCACCACAGAACTGGAAGGGACCCTAAAGGGTGACCCAGACCAGCTGTAGAAACAGATGCTCAGAGAGGTGACCTGCAGTGCACACACAGCAAGCTAGTGACAGAGCATCAGCAAGAAGCAGGCCTCCTGGCTCCGGGCAGCATCTTGTCCCACACTACACAGCTTCCCCAGAAAGGTCTGAGAGATTTGGAACATGACCCAGAAGTCTGAGGACAAGCAAAAAGGAAGCCTTCAGGCTCACTATTATCTTGGCCACCAAAAGCAGTTGTTCCTATCAGAATTGCAGTGGGGGAGATCCCACAGCCTTCCTGGGCTTGGAACATGAGAGGACAAAGGGGGTCTTAGCATGGGAAGAGCACCTGTGGTTATTTACATGACCTTCTTAGGATGCCGTTTCTCATCAGTAAAATGGGAATAATCATTCTCACCTAACAGTCCGATAAAGGGGTTGGTACAAGAAAAATGGGCTCAAAAGCACGTCATAGGCAATATGTTAGGAGTATCTGAACATTTTAGTGGGAAAAGGGGTCAGAAACAGATGCCCAAATCCTGAGCTCCTCGACTATGGCGGTAGCAGAGCATCCACAAGGGCAGGGCCTAGCCTGTCTTTTGGAGGCCGCCCTGCCATTTGTGAGTCCATCATCCCCCAGTGTCCCCAAGGAGGAAGGCTTTGGTTTCCATCAGAAGTACCCAATCCCAAGTCTCGGGTTTTGTCTGCAATCAAACCTAAGTCTGGCTTCTATCTTTGAGGTCAGCAGACAAGAACAAAATAATGTGGCAGAAAGGAGACTCAGAAACTAGGGTCCACATTTAGCTCACCTCTGACTCTGGGAGCTCAGGAAAGGCAGCTTTTAGGGACTGCAGGCGGGCTGCACGGAGGGCATTGAACCAGTCCACTATCTCCTGCAGAGAAGGATGCGAGGACAGTCAGTCAGAGAGATGAAGTAAGGGGAGCTGAGTGTGGCAGGAAGCTAACTGGATCTTTGGGTTTGGGCACATGCATTCAGCACATGCACGCACCCCCATTTCTGCTCAGTATCTTGTTCAGATGCAAGTTGGATTCAGCGGTTTGACCTGGCACCTGATCATCTACATTCCCAACATGCTCTCCGGTGATGCAGTACTGCCAGTTGGTGGATGCTGGCGTTACGGCCTGTTCCATGGCAGCCAGCGTGATTTATGCATTGCAAATCTGAGTCTAGCCCTCCCTCCTGCCCACGGAAAAAAAGGTAAGATGCTTTAGTCTGACTTCTTTTGCCCTCTGAGCTCATTCTATATAAAACCATGTGCAATTTCCCCAATACAAGCTGCACCTCCTCCTGGAACATTCCACCTTAGCCACTTCTTCTTCATCACCTCAATCATACTGTTTACTTAGAACATTCTACTCATCCTAAAGGTTAGTTTTCATGTCATAGATTTTTGGGGCTCAACCCAAGCCTGTTCCTATGAAAACGGGCCCACCCATGTTCACATCCCATTACAGACCCACAGCTTATCTTGGCCACAGCAACTGGATCAGTGGGGCTTCAATTTAGAAGCTGGACTGGGCTTATCAGATTCTTTCTCCCAGGAATTTGGAATTGGGAAGATAAAAAACTTGTTCAAATAGCTGTAGTGTTGCTCTTTGATGTAATAGTTAGATTTGATGTGACATAGTCATTTGAATATGGTTCCAAAGAGAATGACACACAACTGGCTCTCTCTTTCACAGGTCAAGTCCTCAGGCCACGTATGAGCTCTTGTCCCAGGACTTAAGAACTTTTTGAGGTCTCAGGCAGTAAAGAAATAGGACCATCCTAGCAAAGACCCCATCAGGCCTTTACTTTGGAAAGTCTCTCTAGTCACAAGCTGATGAACAAAATCCAACCTGCATCCAAGTTTGTTTGGCTTCTGAAGTTTGGTTTGTTTCAACCCTCAATGCTTGGCTCCTTTTTTTTTTTTTTTTTTTCTAAACATAAAGTCATTCTGGGGTCGAGCAGTGACTGGAGTTCAGACGTGTGCTCTTCTAAACAGAGCGGGGAGCAGAACAGGCAGATGGATGAAGTACACTGCTGAGGGGAGCAGCAGGCGAGACAGGAGAGGTCTGCTGGCCATGTGGATCAACTCCTTTGCAGGGATCGAACATGCACTGAAGTGGCCAGGCTTGGCTTAGCTTCGCAGTGCAGCGCTCCAACCCCCTGTGCCACCAGGGAGGGCCCTGCAGCTCCCTTTTGTGCCTTTCTAATGGGGAAGCTGGGGCATGCCAGGAAAGCAAGAATGGCCAGACCCAGGTTTCCAGCTGCTCTACAATTGGGCAGGGGAAGGAGCCAGGTTGGGTAAGTAGCAGAGGCCACGGGCATCTCAACAGTTACTGGCATGGAGGAGTGGCCACCGCCAGGGTGGATCTGGGGCAACAGTGGAGGGCAACACCAATGACTGAAAATCAGAGACTGCCTCTAAGTCTTCTGGCTACATAAGCCCCAAGATCCTGGTAAAGACAAGAGGGAGCTAAGAAAATTTTATTTCTTGCCAATTTTGGGACTGGGGTCTTTAGATTTAAAGAAGAAGTGCATCATTTACTTGAACCCCTGGTGTTACAGAACATTGTGTTCCTATTAGAAAATCGCTCTCTTTCCTCCCCCCATTCCACCACACCACGCATCACAGTTCCTGAATCTTTGCCCTTAAAATAAATACACCTGTATATCTCATTCGGCCCCCTTTAAGGCTTCTTAAATTTCATCTTTTTCAGTATATTCACATCGTTTTTAAAGAGAAACTCCTTCTGGAAGCCTTCTTTTGACCATCCCCTCCACACCTGCAGACCAGGCCATTGCCTGTCTCCTGTGTGACCCCGGCATGGCCTCCACCCACCACACAGACCCACCAGTGCCTGTTTCCCCCTCCATCTCCCTCCTCAGCATGAGTTCGATCCCCGCCTGCCCTGGAGGTGACCACATGGTGCGGCAGACCTCTCCTGACCTGCCCACTGCTCCCCTCAGCAGTGTATTCCTCGATCTGCCTGTTCTGCTCCCCACTCTGTCTCTGGTGAATCCCCTCACCACTCCTGCACCTCTGGCCTGTACCCCAGTTCTGTACGCATAAATAAATAAATCTTTTTAAAAAATAAAATAAAAAGTTATGTATAGTGCCAAGAGCAGTACCCACCAGATGCTCACAAAATGTCAACCCCACTTTCCCCTCTCTGCCTCCACCTAGCATCTCTGTCCCTTGCCCAGTCACATGACCCAATTTATTCTCTCAGATCTTTATTACTGGTCTGTTCTTCTTGGGGGGTGGGGGGGATGATTTCCTTCCTAGGCCTTTAAGTAGTGCTTCTCAAACCTAAAGGTGCCTAAGGATCCCTGGTGGATCCTGTTAAAATGCATTTTCTGGCCCTCCCTGGTGGCGCAGCGGGTTAAAGCACAGCACTGAGAATCTAAAGCCGCTTCCGCATGAGTTCGATTCCCGCCTGCCCCGGAGGTGACCACATGGCGTGGCAGACCTCTCCTGACCCGCCCGCTGCTCCCCTCAGCAGTGTACTTCGTAGATCTGCCTGTTCTGCTCCCCACTCTGTCTCTGGTGAAGCCTCTCGCCGCCCCTGAGCCTCTGGCCTGTACCCCAGTTCTGTATGTACAAATAAATCTTTAAAAAAAAAAATGCATTTTCTAATTCAGTAGGTACCGGGTGGTCCCTACACACTAGTTCCAATAAGCTCCCAGGTGGTGCCAATGCTGCCGGCCAGGGCCATATGCTGAGGAGCAAGGTCACTGCTGCCTCCTCCTCCCATACTCAGTCTCTGCCTGCCTGAATTTGCCATTCCCAGGCATAGTCCCTTCTGCTCACTGGGCTCCCCGTGATGGCTGTGCAGCGTGCACAGTGCAGCTACACACATGGTACCTGCAAGCTTTCTCCCCTCTCTCTGCTTCCCTCATACTTCCGTCTCAGACCCGGAGGTGATGACAGATTAAGGTAAATAGCAAGTCTCACGAGGCAACTGATCAAGGAAGTCGGTGAGCTGAGCTTGGCAGGTCCTGGGGTGCTGTGGGCTGGCTGGTGGGGCAACACCAGTCTCTCACCTTTCCACTTTCATGAAACACAAACAGGTTTCTGATATGACTCTCTCTCCTGTAGGTGATCTGCAGACCATGTGGGTGGCCAATCTTCTCTGTCTGGAAGGTGGCATTCAAGTCCTTGATGTTGATGACCGCTTTGGGGCCTTTACCCTAGAAGAGCAAGCAAGACTCCTCAATTTCTTGCTCTAAAATTAAGACACAGATCTTCTCTGTGCTGTATTCAGCCATCCCACATGCCTGCTTACTCAGATTAGCTTTTATGAGTTGAAAGGGGACGTAAGAGCTCAAAGTTTTTATTCATAGAAGGGAAAAGAAGTGCTTTCCTTTATCATTAATAATAGGAAATATTGATGAAAACTCTTTAGACCTGTGGTAGTCATTAACCACATGTGACTGTTAAAATGAAATGAAATGAAAGCCTCAGCTCCTTGGTCACAGTTAGCTCCATTTCAAGTGCTCAGGAACAACCTCTGGCCAGCGGCCAGGGCATTGGAGAGGGCAGACAGAAAACATTCCCATCGCTGAAGAAAATCCTAGTGAGCCATCTTCTCTAAAGGGGACTTTAGAGAACAATCCATGTTGTTTCATTTATTCGTTGTTATGATTATACCTATATATAATTATACAAGTTACTTATTTGGTTAATTTAAAATTAATATCAATTTTATGTGATGTTATTGGTTTTAAATTAATTTTATCTATGTAAAATTTATTTCATTTATTAATATTAATTATATAGGTTATTACATTGTTACCATGATTATATTTATTATAAAACTTGTCCTTATAGAATAATGAACAGCCATATACCAGAGGCATTTTGTGGGGGTGGAGTGGGGAATGGGATCAAAAATGGGAAGGGGTGGGTTGGCGGAGGGGGGGAGGGAAGTGCACGGGACTATGGTGATGGCACACGGGTGACTTGGTGATGGGAAACCCATGGGGATTACAATTGAGATGAAAAAAAAATGTACAAAATGATGTAAAAATAAACTGTTATATTATTAAAAAAAAAAAACTTGTCCTTATAAAATAAAAACCAGGGCCCTCCCTGGTGGTGCAGTGGGCTAAAGCACAGCACTAAGAATCGAAAGCCACTTCCTCATGAGTTCGATCCCCGCCTGCCCTTGAGGTGACCTACATGGTGTGGCAGACCTCTCCTGACACGCCCGCTGCTCCCCTCAGCAGTGTACTTCATCAGTCTGCCTGTCTAGCTCCCCACTCTGTCTCTGGTGAATCCTCTCACCGCCTCTGTACCTCTGGCCTGTACCCCAGCTCTGTATGCATAAATAAATAAATCTTCAAAATAAATAAAATTAAAAACAAGTAATATTTCATCTTATGGATACACTACAATTTGCATGTTCGAATGTTCAGTTGTAAATGGACATTTAGGTTCTTTAGGGTTTTGACTATTAAGGTAAACCTTCTATGGGACATTTTATGTACAAATCATTTTGTGGACCTTTTCATTACTCTTCAGTAAATTCCTAGGTGAGGAGCAGCAGGATTATTATATTCATTTAACATTTTTTAAAAGATTTATTTATTTATTTATGCATACAGAACTGGGGTACAGGCCAGAGGAGCAGGGGTGGTAAGAGGATCCACCAGAGACAGAGCTGGGAGAAGAACAGGCTGACTGACAAAGTACACTGCTGAGGAAAGCAGCGGGTTGGTCAGGAGAGGTCTGCCACGCCATGTAGGTCACCTTCCTGGCCAGGAATCGAACTTTTGCTGAAGTGGCTTTAGTTTCATAGTGCTGTGCTTTAACCTGCTATGCCACCAGGGAGGGCCCTATGCATTTAACTTTATTAAAACCTGCCAAATTGTTTTCTGAAGAGGTTATATCATTTTATAGTCCCATCAGCAATGCATGAGACCTCCAGTTTCTTTATATCCTGCTAATATTTGGCATTCTCAGCCATTGTAATCTTAGCCATTCTGATGAGAGCATGGTGTCCTACTTCAGTATTTCCCTGATGCCAGAGAAATTGAACATCTCTTCAGATATTTACCAGGTATTTTATTTTCCTCCAGTCCATTTCCTTTGTCTATTTTCCTAATACATTATCTCTTTCTTCTTGATTTGTAGGGTTTTTTTAAATATGTTCTGAGTATTAATATTTTGTTATGTTGAGTTATCTTCTGGGTTTCACTTTCCTAACATTTTATTTTTTGTATTTCAAAACAACTACAAAAAGAATTACCTTGATGATGAAAATTTTCCATTTGGGAGAAGAAATTTTTTAAAACAAAGGCAATTCATTCTATTTTTAGACTGTTTTAGACTCAAATGACTTAGGACTGAACAACAGATCCACTTTTCCAGCCAAGAATATGAGGTCCTTCCTATAGCTCAACTCAAAGTTGACTTGCTGGGGTTCAGTGGCCCCCTTCTAACTTGTCACCCACACCTTTTCTTCCTGCCTTTTGTACCTCAACATTTTCCAGTACTTTCAATTGATTGAGAAGAAATCCCTACACTGACTTGGAGGGCTAATATGCATCCTTCCCATTTTTCACTTGGCCATAAACCACAACTACACTGGACGGACACCTTTAGCCAGTGCTCTGGTCCATCTAGGAAAGCAATAGTGAAAATAAATAATAATTTTTATATACAGGAAACACAGTAAGATGAAGGCTAAAGTACTCAGAACTTATCCTTCTCCTTGTAGACCCCTCTTTCGTAATTTCTTTGCTAGAAACTTCTCATTTTTCTGTTCTGTGAATACTGAGCTGTCCCAAGGATGAGTGTGGTAGATAATCTCCAAAGATAACCCTTAGTAATTTCTTCCCTCCCCGAATGAGCATGCCACTCCACCCATATGGAGGAGTAATCTATTTCCCTTGAATTGGGGTCAGCTGCTTGACTTGCTTTGACCAAAGAAGGTAGTTCGTGACCTAGACTTTAAGAGGCCTGGTAGTCCCTCCCTGGTGGCGCAACAGGTTAGGACATTAGGATGCATCACTGTAAGCTGGCTGCAGCCTCTTCAGTGCCAGTTCGATCCCCAGCCCCGGAGGTGACTACATGGTGCTGCAAACCTCTCCTGACTAGCCCACTGATCCCCTCAGCAGTGTACTGACTCAGTCTGCCTGTTCTACCCCCTGCTCTGTCCCCAGTGAATCCTCTCACCACCCCTGCACCTCTGGCCTGTACCCCAGTTCTGTGTGCATAAATAAATAAATCTTAAAAAAAAAAAGAGGCATTTCCTTTTACTTGGGGAAAGCCGGCTGCCATATTATAAGACTCAAGCTAGAATCCTGAATGAAGAATAATCACACAGAGAGAGGAGCCATATGGGTATGCCAGGGCACCAGAAATTAATGAATGAGGCTTCTAGTCCAGTGTAATCACCAGCTAGATGAAGGAGGTTAACCCAACTGTTGCCACCTGTAATACATTGTAAGGGCTGAGGTAGGCTGATTCCTAGTCCATAGGATTATGGGAAATCACAAATCAATGTCTTGTGCCACCAAGTCTTTGGGTGGTTTGTCACTTAGCAACAGATAAATAAATTGTTCAGTCCTTGGGCATTTTTTTAACCCACATTCCCTGTCTTGGTGATCCTAGCCAGGCCATGCTAAGCCAGTCTACATGCTGATGACCCCAGCAAAACTTTTTTCCAAGCATCTAGACTCATTTCCTAGTGTCTCCTAGGAAACTGTGCCTGTGAACTTTTTTTTTTTTAAGATTTATTTATGCATAAAGAACTGGGGTACAGCCCACAGGTGCAGGGGTTGAGAGGATTCACCAGGACAGGGAAGGGAGCAGAACATGTAGACTCACTGAAATACACTGCTGAGGAGGGCAGCAAGCAGGACAGGGGAGGTATCCTGCACCATGTGGGTCAGTTCCCTGGTTGGGGATCGAACTCTTTCTGCAGTGGCTGGAGATAGCTCCATAGTACTGTGCTTTAAACCAATGCACCACCAAGGAGGGCCTGTACTTGGGAACTTTATTACCATTAAATTAGATGGGAAATCCTATGAGCACTTTCAGATCCAAAAAATAAACTAGTAAATAATACCAAACACAGCCTACTTTCAGGTAGGCTGTATCACCATACCTCCTTGGATGACTAGTAAGCATGTCAAATGAAAAATGACTCAATCATTCCCTTAAGGAGACAAGTCTTTGCCACCTCAGCAAATCTATTGTCCTAATTTAAGGTTAAAAGCTTGGAATCATCCTTCATCTCTCTTTCACATCCCACTTCCAAGTCTTCAGTAAATTCTTTGCTCTACTTCCAAAACATGCAACATATGACCACACTTTCACCACCATCATTTCTCTCTTGATTACTGCAATGGTTTTCAGACTGGTCTCTCCGCTCTATTCTTGCCTTCTCCCTGCTCCACCCTCCACCCAGGAGCAGCCAGAGTGCTCCTTTGAAAAAGTTCAAGTCAATTCATATCTCTTCTCTGCTCAAAACCACTGTGGCTTCCCACCTCAGAGTAAACCCCCCTCCCCAATTTATATATCCAGCAAAGGATTTGTATCTTGAAGATACAGCACTACTAATTCTCAATAAAAAGAAAAATAATTGGTTAAACTATGGGGAAAGGATCTGAATAAACATTTTTATAAAGAAGAAATGGCTGGGCCCTCCCTGGTGGCACAACAGGTTAAAGCACAGCACTATGAAGCTATCATAGCCACTGGAGCATGAGTTCCATCCTTGACCAGGGAGCTGACCCACATGGCACAGCAGACCTCTCCTGACCTGTTTGCTGCTCCCCCAGCAGTGTATTTCAATCAATCTGCCTGTTCTGCTCCCCATTCTGCCTCTGGTGAGTCTTCTCATCACCCCCCTCACCTCTGGTCTGTACTCCAGTTCTTGTATGTAAGATAAATAAATTAATCTTTACAAAATAAAAAAGAAGAAGAAATGGCTGATAAGCACATAAAAAGACATTCAGTATCCTTAGCCATCAATGAAATGCAAATCAAAATCTCCATGAGACACTAATACTGATACATGTTACCAAATGAATGCACCTTAAAACCCCAATACTAAAAAGCAAAAGATTTGCTTCAAGAAACCGTATATGCTTTTGTCACAAATGATTTCATTTATATGAAATGTCCAGAATAGGCAGCTCTATAGAGACAGAAAGTAGACTGGCAGTTCCCTAGGGGTGGAGGGGAGTAGAGGATTATAGCTAAGGAGTATGGGGTTTCTTTTTGGGGTGGTGAAAATGTTATAACATTGACTGTGGTAACAATAGCACATTGTGAATATACTAAAAGTCATTAGTTATATACTTCCCCCCCCCCGAATCATTAAATCTTTATTCATTTTAAGAAAAAGAGAATGAATGTGGGTAAAAAATTGATAGCAAATGGGAAAGAAAGTACCCAACATACAAAATCAGCCATCCAATAAAATATCCCAGTGATGGGAACTGTACACTTTAAATGGGTAAATTGTAGATATGAGAATTACATCTTAATAAAGTTGTTACCAAAAAAGCCACGAACAACATAAGTCTTACTATGACCTACAGGGTCCTCGACCATGTGGGTTCACCTCCCTCAGTCCTTTCCTTTGCTTATTTTGTGCCATTCATTTTGGTTTCCTTGAAGCCTGATATGCCAGCGAAACATACTTGCAACTCAGGCCAGAGCTATGGCTTATGGCTGAACAGTTTGTGCGCTGAACAAAATCCCCTGGCTGAGGGGAGGGGTAAGAGAAAACTGAAATCCAGGCTTCTGCTGGTCTAGGCTGGGGACCAGAGGCTGTGGCCCTCACTGGTCATCTTTTTCCTTTTTAAAAAAGATTTTTTATTCATGCATACAGAATTGGGATACAGGCCAGAGGTGCAGGGGGCAGTGAGAGGCTTCACCAGAGACAGAATGGAGAGCGGGACAGGAAGATTAACGAAGTACACTGCTGAGGGGAGCAGTGAGTGGGCCAGGAGAGGTCTGCCAGGCCATGTGGGTCACCTCCAGGGCCAGGAATCGAACTTGCACTGAAGCAGCTATGGCTAGCTTGCAGTTCAGCATCCTAACCTGATGCGCCACCAAAGAGGACATAGGGTCATCTTTTTGTAACGGGCATGCTGTTGTATAGGCCAGCTTGACATACCCAGGACTTTGCACATGTTCTTCCCTCTTCTACTCTTCCCTGCATCTTCACATAACACATTTCTCTTCACCAATGTCACTGTAGGGGCACCCCACCCAGACACTCCCTTCATGGCCTAGCCCTTGGCCCTCTTTGATTTCACTTCACAGAACTTATTGCCACCTGATACATCACATGTCAATGTGTTTGAGTCACCACCTGTCTCTTCCCACTAGAATTAAAGCTTTACGAGAACAGGAGCTTTGTCTAGTTTACTGCTGTCTCCCCGTGCCTAGGATATAGCGTGTGATCAACAAATATTTCTCGAGTGTGTGAATAAATGAAGTAAATTCAAGTCATTCTCAAAGGCCGAAACATGGACCAGACTAAGTTGTGTTTATTTTAAAGCCAAGGAAAAGAAAGCCTAACTCCATGTGGTTGACATTTCCACAAGATGAGGCATCGCTGCTTAGAACACAGACCCAGTGGATGTGAGCCCAGAGCCCAGGAAGAGACCCCTGCTGGCCTGACTCTTACCTCCTCTTTAGTGTAGTACTTCAGGAGGCCTTCTCTTACGAGAAGGACAAACCTCCTCTGCAGGAACTGCGCGTTGTCCCTTCCCCGCTTCCACAAGATCCCATCTCGGTTACCTGAGTCACCAAGAAAGAAAAAGAGAGAACACCTGAGAACTGGTGCCTGGGCAGCTCACGAACTGTGACAGGTCCCAGGGGTGGAATGAACCCTCCACCTGATGCTAAAATGTCTTGGATCTGACTAAGCTATTTATCTGCCTGGGAATAAACTCACAAAGTCTTATGATTTTGGTTGGGCTCCCCAACTCTCTTCCTCATCTGTCTCATGGGAAGATATAGCAAGCCCTGATGTAGGCTAAATACTGAGAACCTGGACTGATTGTGAAAGAGGCCCATGTGCTGGTGTCTAACCTCATGCTGACATCAGGCCTAATGAAACTTCAGCAGAGTGCAGGAATAATGAATGAGGGACCTCTAGGCACCTGCTGGTGTGAAGGCCTGGTAGCGAGGGGAGATGAGCATGCTGCCTCTGGTCCTCAAAGAGTGTTTCAAACACGTTGTTCTCTAGGCCACTGTCGGCTTAGACTTGGTCTAGTACTGCACAGAAAACAGATAGATGAGTCACCAGCAGGATTGTGCCCTGGACAAAGGCAGGAAGAGAGACTGGAATTGAGCTCCTAACCAAGCTTGTATCACACCAGGGCCTATCCAGGAGCAGGAGCAGGAGCAGGAGCAGGGATGTCCTTTACAATGGTTCTACCCAGTGGGGGAGACTTCCTGTCATTTATACTAGGAATCTCTACGCACTAGTTCCCTGCAATGACTTAAGACAAAAACGCTCTCCTCTGACTCAGATCATAGACTCCACCCATTGATAAGTCACAATACATTTTAGAGGCTAAAGAATCATGTGTTTGGCCTTCATGACAATGAGGACAACAGGTTGACCTTTGCTCCTAATTCTCAGTCACTTTGTTTCAGGACTCATTAGAACACAGACCTCAAAAGAAGATGAAAATAACTTTACCTGGGGGTGGGGTGATTTTCCCATCAGCCATAAATTCTTGTCTCTCATACTTAGCACGAATCCATTGTTCCTTTAAGACTCTAAAAAGAGAGGACGTTTGGTCAGTTGCATCTGCTGCATTCTCTTCCTGCAGGGTGGTCTTGGAGGTTGGGAGCATCAAAAAGCCACCTCACTGCCAGTTCAGGCTACCCAGAGTTTCTCAGGCTTGGTATTATTAACATTTGAGGTAGGATAATTGTGTGTTTGTGGGATGTCCTATTAAAGAATGTTTAGCAGCATCTCTGGACTCTACCCACGAGATACCAGTAGCATTCCCACCCCACTTATCCAGTTGTGATCTCCAAAAATGCCTTCTGAAATTGCTAGTGTCTCCTGTGGGGAAAAATTTCCCCTGTTGCGTTATAATGAAACCACTGGCTCATTCCCACCCCAACCTCAGTTCTCTAGCCACATACTAGTTCCCCTGAAGTGTCTACACTGCCAACCCCCACTGCTTACTCATGAGTTTAAGCCAAAGAGCCCAAGAACCTTTTCCCATGGCCAAACTGCACCCCCCCAAAAAAAAAAATTGGGGCATGTTACAGTGGAACAGAGCAGTGGACTTGGGATCTGACTTCTGGGGGTCCCCAGCCCCCTTTACCATTTATCCACTATGACTGACAGCAAGTTATTAATTCCTCTGGCTTGGGAAATATGCCAACAAGTTTAAACCTCCCTACTTCAGGATTGTTGAGAGGTATAAATATATATAAAGGGTCTAGTACTGTAACTGGTAGCTGAAGCCATAGACCGTTAGGTGGTGCCCCCTGGAGTAGATGCTGGGGAGGATAGATAGCTCCAGGGAAAAATGCTAAACAGTACTGCTTTTTGGGGTAGGATGACTGATAAGAAATATAAGTGACTGCAGAAGGGGGTGGAATTCATTTAGTCTTTGGGATTCAGTTTTTGAACCTTTAGCATTTGGGTCAGCAGATTCCAGACCCCACCTCGCTGATCTTCCAGAAGACTGTTGCTGGCCTCTGAAGGTGGAGGTCTCCAGCCACCAACCTCAGAGGGAAAAAGTTCAGAGGTTTTTCAAGTAGCCAAGTGATTACAACTGTTCCTGGTTTCACTGCAGTTGCATTCACTGGCACGGGAGGTGAAGACCCAGAGCTGGGAGTCTTGCTGAGCTGTGAGTGTGGCCATTTGTGGGTTAGTTTGGCTACTGCAGCTGCTGTTTTGGGTGTTGCTTGTCTGCTGCTGTGCTGGGGCGTCCCTGAAGCTCTGGGAGTGTCTCCTGTTGCATCTTCTACTGTCTTCATGAATCAGAACCTGCCCTGAGTCTGGCTGCTGTGTGTTCCAGGTCGGCAGAGGCAGGAAGACGCCATCTTGGATAGTGGCCTATTGATGGGGACATGAGTTTGGTGTCCTCAGTGGCAAGAAGATGCCATTTTAACTGTTTTTGCTTAGGACTGAGAAACAATGGCCACCGCTTTGGGTGATTTAAAGGCCATTATTGGCCTTAGTAACTCTTTGTTTTTCCCTGGTTTGTTGAATAAATCCCTTTGTCGTTGTTCCCTGAGCCTGATTACTCTTGCAATTGTGTGCAAGAGTGAAAAACTCAGACAGTAACCTGTAAGCTATTTGGACAGTACCTGTGGCCAGTTTAGTGCCCCTTGCTGCCCTGTGTCAGTACCAAGCTCAGCCCATAACAAGTTTCTGTTAGCACAATCAGATACTGCTATCCATGACTACTGTTGAAAAACCATACCATACACCCCAGAGTAGACTTAATTTAACAGTTTGGCTTTTCTCTCCCTTTCCAAGAAATATTCTAGGCTCTATATAACCTCATCACTAACCTAGAGCTGGACACCTGGTGCTGATGGTCAATCAGAGCTCTTCCTTGGGTTGTGTGAACCAAAACTGATAGAGGGATGAATCAGAAGCCCTCTCTAGAACCCAACTTGGAGCAGCAGCCAGAGACCTGGAAGTGGCCTTGCTCCCACTTCTTTCAGCTGCATGAAGGAAGCCTAGATGACAGGAAGATGCGGGAATGACAGCCAGAGAGCATGTAAGAGACCTGATGGTGCTTGAGCTCCTGGCCTAATTCTTATTTTTTTCAAATTTAATTATTTAAAAAAAGTTTTATTTATGCATACAATAACTGGGGTATAGGCCAGAGGTGCTGGGTGGGTGAGAGGATTCACCAGAGACAGAGTGGGGAGCAGAACAGGTGGATCTATTGGAATACAATGCTGAGAGGAGCAGGGAGACAGGAGAGGTCTACTGCACCATGGGGGTCAGCTCCCTGGTGAAGATCAAACTCAAGCTGCAGTGGCTGTGATAGCTTTATAGTGCTGAGACTGTAACCCCTGTGCCATCAGGGAGGCCCTCTCCTGGCCTATTCTTCCTGAGAGTGACTACACCTGTCTTTCATGTGCTATGATCCCTCAAACCTATGAAATCCCCTTGTGCCTATACTAATTTAAACTGCGTTTTTGTCACTTAACTCCTCCCTAATGCAATGTCCTACTCCCAGGACATTGAAGAGAGTCTGGGAACTCTGCATGGAGTCTGACATAGGATAAGACCTGGGAAAAAGAATGGATACTGAAGGCTCTGATCCTAGTCCCAGGGGTGAGGAAATTTGAAGAGTTTTAGAATTGAGGGGACGAGGCCATTGGTGATTGGTGCAGGGCCGCTGTAGGAGTCATGACAAGCTGTGTCTGTGCAGGTCCAGCAGAAATTCTAGCACATAAGAGGTACTCAAGAAGGTATGCTTCTTTCCCTTGGGGACAAAGGGCTGAGTAGCAGAGACCAGGTAGGCCAGGCCCTGTCAAGTTCAAGTTGAAGCTGGTTCAACCTTCAGCTGGTCCAGTGGCCAGACAGTATTCTGAAGCTGATACTGGGAAACAGATTAAAACTGGTGCCTAGTGGCCTGTGAGATGTTTTATACAAATCATCTCATTCAGTTTCTACAACTGCACTGTGATGCAGTCAGAGTCAGAGAGGTTTGGTAACTTGAGTCAGAGAGGTTTGGTAACTAGTCCGCCTTCTCACAGCTAGGTCATTGTAGAGTCAGGAAACAAAACTGGGTCTTCTGTGTTGACAGTTGTGCTTTCCTGCCACTCCACACTGCATCAGTAGCCCTGTGGTTGTTCTAGTTTGTGGTTGGCAAACTAGACGACTGCTGGGAAAGGTTGTATAGTCTGTGTACTGTCCAAAAGTGTCCTGTTGGACTATTGGGCAGTGGTAGCTGAAACACAGTCTGCTCTATGCAAGTCACCCACTGGGTTGTGTTTTCCAGAGACATACCTTCTCCCTATTTCCATAAAGCATAGTCTAGAAGCCATTGCAGCAAGCCTCAGGCAAAGGCAAGCAGTCCCGCAGACATCTGAGATCACTATGAAGCACTGTCACACTGACCCTTCACCTCCAAGGGAGCTGAACCCTCCTGTGACTTCACAGCCTCCTGGATTCTCTAGTACTACGAAAGTCACCCAGGCCGCAGGCTAGCCCAGGCTCTGCCTCCGTAAGCCTCAAGTTTTTCATTTACATCATGGGGTTAAAGGCAGTAGTAGTCTCATACAGTTGTTGAAAAGAATGAAGCAAATTAATGTACACAAGCATTTATACCAGTCCTGGTACACAGGTAAAATCCAACAAATATTAGTAACTACTGTTATTTTTATGGTTATTACTCAGGGACCTGGGAGCCAGGCAGCTGCTTTGGGGCTATGCTGAGCTTGGGTTGGACACAGAAATAGCTGAATCATGTTTGTTCTACTAAAATACCAGTCTTTCTCTTCTTAACCTAGTTAGCCAGCCCCTGTAGGCTATGAGAGCATCAGAGGCAAAGGCGCAGATCACATAGAACTATGTCCCATGTCACAATTGTGGAAACTTGAGGGCAACGAGGTTTCCGTTGCGGGTCATAAACTGCAAAAAACAATGAAGGTAGAGAGGGGCTTAGACCTGATCTATGTGTTCTCCAAATGCTTTTCAGAGCTACCTGTCAACCAGGTCCATAGCTGAGACCACCATGGACATAAAACACCAGAGGTGGGGAGGGGAGGCAGGACTGGGAAATCACCCACTCACAGGCAGTCGTTGGCCTGGGGGATATAGTAGAAAGCAGGGACTCGGGCTTCGTACTTGGCCTTCACACGGAGGTTCCCATTGTGGGTCATAAACTGCAAGACAACAGCAACTTGGGATAACATTGGAACTTGAAAAAATGTGAAATGAAACCACTGTCTACCCAGAAGGTTCTCACAGCCCCTTGGCTGAGTCAGGGAGTTTGACAGGTCCCACTGGGTTTAGTCACCCACACTGCTGGGAAATCCCAGCCTGGAACAAGGAGGTGCTATAACATCCATGCTCACAGAGAGGGCTCTTTCCCATCTTTACATTTTAGCTCATCTGATGCCCTCCATCACTTTAATGTAATCATCCTTATTTAAGACACAAGGAAACTGAGGCTTAGAGAAGTTAGGCGACTTAACTCAAGGAGACACATAATAAGAGGAGCTGGGATTTGAACCCAGATTTGTATAACTCCAAAGTTTATGTTTCTCCCACTCCATCTGCATATGGTCAGGGCCACCCCTTCCAGCAGAAGTCCCCAAAAGTCTGCAGAAAATAGATGTAGAGTTTACAAGAAATGGGTCCCATGATGTAGGTGAGGGTCATCACTGGGGCCTTTGGCACCCAGGTAATCCAGAGGCTGATGTGCTAGGAATGGCCTCATGAGTTAGCACACACAACAGTAACAGCTATCTGGCAGGAGGGCAGGGGTGCAAAGAAACATGAGGTTTCTAGTTCATGTCTCTTGGGCAGAGTGAACCCTGTTCTCCCCCTCTCCAGGACCTAAGGGCTGCCAAAAGATTTAGCGAACTTTGGATCCCAACAATTAAAATCCCAGCTGTGACATTTATTCACTGAATGGCCCTTGGTAATACTTAATCCGCTGAACTTCAGGGATCCCACCTATAACAAGGAAGAAAATATGACAGGGCACAAACACGATAAAGCACAAAGAAATAAACTTAAGGTTTGTGTGCTGGTGTCCTGGTTTCCTACCTTCCTCCTGCACTAGAATGAAAGCCGGCTGTGGGCAGGGACTTTGGCTTGTTCATTGCTCTCTCCCACTAACAAGCGCAGAGTAGGCTTATAGTTACTATGTGTAAGATGCATGAATAAAGCATCTAGCCAGAGTGGGTACTGTCAGCCTGCTTCCCCAGCAGTCTGGGAATTCCTCTGCCAGCACACTAGAGACTTTCTGGCTGAAATGGTGTTATTCAGGCTGAGCATGTCATGTCCTCTGTCTCTGTAGGTCAAGAAAGCCAAGCTCTTCCCTTCCAGGCTAGGGGGACATAAGACTTAGACCATGAGTCAGGATGCTTGTGTGTCAGCCAGGACTTCAGCCAGTGAGGGAAGCCACTGTTAATCAATTGCTTAGTTTGTAGCCACATTGAGATTATATCTACCCCTTACAGCAGCCCTCCGAAGGGGTTGTGGTATCCCCAAAATACAGATGAGGAAGTTGAGGGCCCACAGCTTGTAAACAAGCAAGCCATGGAAGTAAAATGGCTTATGTCTAAGCTGCAACTCCTGATAGCCTGAGTTCTTTTCTTCATAGTTACTGCTCCTCTCTGGGCCTCAGTTTCCCCTGGTGTGGGATGGGAGCAAACCACCCAATGCCTCTATCCAGCACTGCAGCTCCTAGGCACTCCGGGTCGCACCCCTTGTTACCTCCACAATATTGTCGTCCCAAAAGTCAAGCCTCACGGATTTGACTTTGCTGATGTCTGGGAAGTTGCGGTGGACGCCAGAGCAGTTCAGACAGATGAAGATGCCCAGTTTGTAAGAGGCCCAGTCGGGATCTACAGGATGAGAGGGCTGGAAAGGGAGTTGGGCCTGCACACGCGGACGCGGGTGGGGAAGCTGGGCTTGCCAGTGAGGATTCCCGGGGTGGTGTCTGACTCTGCTCCCCACGCCGCCGCCGCGGGAACCCCTTGGTTTTCCCACTTAGGTGAATGAGGACACTAGCATGGAACTTCCTTGCCAGCCCGGCGGGCGGCCAGGATAGAGTTCTCGAGAGTCCCGGGTATAGTGCGAGCGTCTGAGGAGCGCACTATGTGGAAGTTACCAGACTGGCGGGAACCGAAAGGACAGAGCGGAATGAGAGGCCGACCAGGACCGCTGGGGAGGTGCAAGGCGGGGGCTCTGGGTCGGGACCACTCCGCGACCGCAGGGTCGGAGGACGCGGGAGCTCGGGACTGGGGCTGGGTGCAGGGGGGGCGCTGGACGCGGGTGCGGAGTGTGGGACCCTCCGGTGTGGCATATGTTTGAGGGGGGGAAGTGGTCGGGTTGGGTCCGGAGCTTCAGGAGGCGCTGAGCAGGGTCCGGGATCCAGGCTCCCGGTCCCAACTTATGGAAAGATTCGTTTCGGAGTCCAGAGTGGGGCGCGCAGGGAATCTGGTTTGGGGAGCGCGTAGAGCCGAAAAAACCAAGCACCATCTGGGACCAGGCTCGGAGATTCGCGGTCTGGATGGGCGAGGGCTGGGGCCGAATTGTCGTCAGGGTCCCTCCCAGGGCTAGTGGGGGCCGGAGACGGGACGCGAGGTCGGGCCCCTAGACCCCGCCACACCGCTCCCGCACCCGCACCCGCTCCTCCCGCCGCGGCGCCCTTACCCGCAGCCCCGCAGTCCGCGCAGCGCGCGTTGCCGGTGCCCGCCGCCTGCAGCAACTCCAGCAGCCGCTTCTTGTTGCGCTCCCGGTCGCCCATGGCCGGCCGGGAGGGCTCAGCGGGGCTCGGCCGGGTTTCCGTTCGGCCCGCCGGAGCCCATGGCCCGCGCGCTCGCCCCGGCAGGTGGAGAGGAACCGAGTTGCTCCGCCACCCGGCCCGCCGGCCCCGCCGGCCACGCCAGCCCCGCCCCTGCAGGACACCCGGCCCCTCCCTCGGCAAGTCCACGGCAGCCGAGCACCGTGGAGGAGCCGCTCCCTCTTTAGGGGCAGCCCGCCGAGGGGAGGGACCCCGGCGCGGGGTCGGACTTCGTCCTAGGGAGTGGGGAGTCAAATCCTGCCCCACCACTCCGTAGGTGCGTGGCTGGGACGATCGAGGCAAGCTTTCTGGACCTCAGTATCCACCTAGTCGCGCAGGGGTTAAGGACAGCGCTGTGTAAAGGGGAATAAGGACGAGTGTCTGCATCTCAGGACTCCTTGGAAAACTCATAAAGACCTCACTTCTGTTGAAGGGTTCTACTGGTGCAGATTTTACATCTACCAGAGACTTAGATGTTAAAATGCTACCTCACGAAGCAGTACTGGGTACCTAGCTCAAGTTATCTCTTTAGCTTCTGGTCCTTCTAAGACACTTTAAAAAAAAAGATTTTACTTATTTTTGCGTAGAAGAATTGGGGTGTAGGCCTGTGGCTTGGGGGTTCACATGGTAAGGAATGGGGTTATGTGAGGGTTATGTGTGGAAGGATTCACCAGAGACAGAGTGGGAAACAGAACAGGCAGATCTACTGAAATACACTGCTGAAGGGAGCAGCAGGTGAGACAGGAGAGGTCGGCTGTGCCATATGGGTCAGCTCCTTGGTTGATCTAACTCAGGTGTGTCCCCATTATAACACAGACTTAACTCTAGGCTACAAGGAAGGCCCCTTTTTGGACATTTTTTATAGCATCTTTCCATCCCTTTTGGCTTTATCATGTGCTTACTATCTACCTTGCATCAGTTATTTATATTAATCCCCCCCCACACTCATACAATGTACCCATACCATACTAGTTTGATGTCAGTTTTTATGTGTCCCACATAGCTCCCAGAAATAGTGCCTATATTTTTAGAAATCCAATAAATAGTTGCATGACTGTTCACTAGCAAGTGTGACTTCACCAGTGGACACCGCTGGGTACTTTATCAGAGAAGTTCCATCACCATGAGGTGTGGAAAACGTCTCTGCTTCTAATCTGGGACTTGCATTAATCCCAGTTCCCCTCCTCCATCTCAGTCACTCAGACGCCCTCTTCAGTGACAGATTAGGTCCTGATAAGGCACATACTGCACACATTTGCTATTCCCTCTGCAGGAAATGCTGATCTATCTATGCATGTGGCCTCCAAAGCTCAGATGTCAGGGTCCCATCCGGAGGGACTGCAACTGATGTTCTAGCTGGCCTGCTTGCAGGGATCTCTAATTCAGCACACATGCAAGATCACAGAGCAGCTCAGTATAATGGCACAAACCCAGGCTTTGAATGTTGGCCCCACTGCTTACTAGATGTGTGGCCTTGTGCAAGTTCCTTTACTTCTATGCATCTTGGGATCCTCATCTATAAAATGAGGATTTCAAGATGCATCTGACAGAATCACAGAGATGTGCCAGTATGTGGCATACAAAACCTTCAAAACAGTGGCTGCCTTGCTTCTCCTGCCCTCTGGTCAGCTGGCGGGATCCTCATTTGGAATGCTGCTTCATTTCCCATTCCCTCACCCCACCCTCAAAGTAGGGTAGGTCAAAGCTTTAGGCCCTGGGGGAAGGAACATTCCAAGAATAACCAAGACATGAGGGGTCTTCACTGTGAAGAATAAGGTCTAAACCAGGAGCAGCTCTGGAGGAACCAGTGAGAGAATCCAGCTGGGGTCAAAGGGCATGGAGCTATTTACCAAACGGGCTGAATAATGATTCATTTCCTCTGCTTTAGTTGAAAAATGGGACAGAAATAAATCTCCCAGGAGGAAAATAGGAATGAAGGCAAGATAGGAAGGCCAGAAGATGGGGAAGTTGGGGGACAAAGCAGGGAGAAGTCAAGGGCATCATGTCTCCACTGTCCAGTACCAGAACAAAACTGTGATGTTGGGGGTGGTTCATGGTTTCCCTGTGGCATCTCAAGTCTGGCATTTCCTCCCACAACAGCCAAACCAAGGGAAAACATAGCATCTCCTTCACAGAGAGGAGCTAGAGATTGAGAAATTCCTTTAGTCTCTACTCTTCCTGTCCTTATTTCTGGAATTTTCCATTTAACAGAAATCCAACCTAAAAGGTAGAGGGTGAGAAGGATAATACTAATTAATAACCACAGAGTTTCAAACCATTTGGTCACATTTGAGTCCACTTGAGCCCTCCAAGGACCTCATCTTAATCTTTGAGAAGCTACATGACCTAAAGTCATGGAGTCAAAAGAAGGAAACAGGTACCTAAGCCCTAGTCTCCCGTGTGTTCACCAATCCCTGGTGATGTCACAAAACAGCCGCGGGCCTGTAACCTCTCCCTGCCACCCTCCCATTCCTGTCTTCTTTTCATTTAAAGAAATTGTAGTAAACTCTATTATATAAAGCTGGCTAGTATAACCATTTTTAAATGTACAGCTCGATGGCATTAATCACATGCACAAAGTTGTTCAACCACTATTTCCAAAACATTTTTGTTACCATAAAAATCCACTCCCCAGCCGACTCATGGGGATCAGATCCCATCGAAGCTGAGCTAGCTCTGTGTTCAGGAAGCAGAAGCTGCCTTTAAGGGAAGAACACCGTGCCAAAGGCTGTCCTAGCCAGGGTGGACGCTGAGTACTGGGGCTAGGGGCCAGAGTTTGAGGACCAGGTTGAGCTGAGGCCGGCTCCCTTGTGGACTCGGACTCCGTGCAGCCAGCTGCTTGGAGATTATGGGGCCATCTGGGCCCTGGGACAGAATGTCCTCTGTAAATAAAGTCCCCAGGGTCCCTCAGAGCACAAACATCTGAAGATTGTCCCTGTCAAAGCAAGCTCAGTTATAGTAGGGCAAGAAGACAGTCCTTTAACCCTCCCATTCCTGGACTGGGCTCAAGATTTGCAGGGGCCAGACTACCACCCTTTTGAAAATTTAAAGAATTATGTTCATTACTTCACAATTTAAAGAAAAACAAACAGAAGAAATGAGGAAAATACAAAAAGAAGAAAGAAAACACCATTCACTGTTACAACCACTGTTTATCCAGGGATTGCTGTGTTCAGCCCCTTGCATGCATTATTCCATTTCATCTTTACCACAGCTCTTGCATGCATAAATAAAATAAATATATTAAAAAAAAAGAAAAGAAAATCAAGCAACCACAGAGAAGAACTTGAACAAGTTCACCTACTTATTGTTACTGAGTTTCACATTGTCTTTAACAGGAACCAGCTCAGAGCCCAAAGGGCCTCTGTACTATAATACTGCCAAAGTTTTTTGTTTAATTTTTTTAAATTTATGCATATAAAATCTGGAGTGCAGGCCAGATATGGGGGCAGGTGAGGGTTGGGGGTTTGGGAGTAGGTGAGGATTGTGGGAGCTGAGAGGCAGATGGACTGAAATACACTGCTGAGGGGAGCAAGAAAGGAGAGGTCTGCTGAGCCATGTGGGTCAGCTCCCTGGCCAAGGATGTAACTGCTGCAGTGGCTGCAGACAGCTTCGCAGTGCTGAGACTTAAATCCTTGCACCACCAAGGAGGACCCAACGTTCATATTTCTGTAACAATAAACATCACTTTGTACTGTTTTTTTAAAATCAATTTATTTTTCATTGAAAAATAAATATGTTTCATTTCAGTGAACGGTGATCTCATTAAGAGCAAATTGTCATATTCACCTTGGTGCCTGGCAAGTACTGAACCCTCACAATGTTAGTTTATCCTTTCTGTGAAATGTCCAGGATGGACAAATCCACAGACAGAAATCGTATTAGAAAGGGGGGATGGGGCAAGGGTGCTAGAGAGCAGCTGCTAATGAGGTGGGTGTGAGATTTACTTCTGGGATGTTGAAAATGTTCTGAAGCTGGTTGCACAACATTATTGACAAACCAAATGCCACTGAATTTTAGACTGTAAAATGTTTAAAGTGGTCAATTTTATGTTGTATGAGGTTAAATGGAGTGAAGTTGAGAGCTCCAGTACACAGGCTGTCTGGCTTACTGGAGTCTACATAAAATACAATGACCCAACGCAGATGGAAAAGCTGAAAAACCCAGGTATAAAATCTGAAGCACCAAATAGAAAGTCCTGAATGAATGGAGCACAACATGCTACTGAGTGCTTACATTGTACATCTTTACCTGATAGATTGAGAAGTCAGTCAAATGGCCAACAGGCACATGAAAAAAATGTTCAATGTTTCTTATAATCAGGGAAATGCAAATCTAAACCACAATGAGATATCACCTTACACATACAAAAAACTAGCAATAACAAATGGTGGTGAGGATGTGGTGAAAAGGGAACTCTCCTACACTGCTGATGGGAGTACAAACTGGTCCAACCACTATGGAAAGCTGTGTGGAGGTTCCTCAGTCTACTAAAAATGGAGCTTCCATCTGATCCAACAATTCCACTCCTAGGGATCTACCCAAAGGACTCAAAAACATTAATTTAAAAGGATACATGCTCTCCTATGTTTATTGCAGCACTATTTGCAATAGGAAAAACCTGGAAACTACCCAAATACCCAAAAATAGATGATTGGATCAAAAAGATGTGGTATATGTACACAATGGCATATTACTAGCAATCAAAAAATATAAACTCATGTCATTTGCAGCGACATGGATGGATCATGCTTAGTGAAATAAGTCAGAAGGAAAAAGTAAAATATGAGGTGGTTTCACTTAGAGGAGGAATATAAGGGAACCAAATAAGACAGGAGAATAAATAATAGAACAAAACAAACAGATAATTATAAACCAGATATATCCTGCATGTGGGGAAGAGGGAGGGGAAAGGGAAGGAGAGAGCATGGGGGACTGTGGTGATTGCATGGGCAAATTGGGGGAGGAAATTCTATGGGATCTACACCTGATGTGGGGGGAAGTAAACACTTTTAAAATGAACAACAATGTTCATATATATTATTTATATATATATATATATTTATATATAAAAGAGAAGTCAGTTACAGTGGCTTAGTCTCAGCTACACTCGGGTTAGAATGACATCTGTTAGAAATTTGATTTGAACATTGGGGTGCTCCTTTTGGAACCAGAATTTTAAAATTGTGTTTAGTGGCCTCCCTGATGGTGCAAGGGTCAGTTCTCAGCACTATGAAGCCATCAGTAGCCACTGCAGTGTGAGTTTAATCCCCAGCTGGGCAGGGAGCTGACCCACATAGACCTCCTCTGACCCATCTGCTGCTCCCCTCAGGAGTGTACTTCATCGATCTGCCTATTCTTCTCCCTACTCTGTCTCTGGTGAATCCTCTCACACACACCCCCACCTCTATCACTATTTATGCATAAATAAATCAATCCTTTTTTAAAAAAGAAGTGAAAATGCACTGGACTATGGTGATGGCACATGGGTGATTTGGTGATGGGAAGCCCAACGGGATTGCAACTGAGATGGAAAAATGCACAAAATGATGTAAAAATGAATGACTATATTATAAAAAAAATAAGGGGGCATAACCAACATTCCAAGACTCCCACTCCCCAGAAGTTAATCTAATTTTTATCACTGGAGCTTATTTGATCTGTTTTTATACTTTATATAAGTGTGTGGCTTATTTCAATCAACATTATATTTTCTTTTTTAATTTTATAAGTTTATTTTTACATCTTTTGTACATTTATTTTTCCATCTCAATTGTAATCCCCGCGAGTTTCCCATCACCAAGTCACCCATGTGCCATCACCATAATCAACATTATATTCTCAAGATTCATTCATGGTGCTGGCTATAGTTGAAGTTTATTGAATTTATTCAATATATTCAGTATATTCATTTGAGTTATTCCAGGTGTTGGTTAACACAGAAACCTGCTATGCTGCTATGAACATTCTTGTGTTAGTTTTAACCCTGTGAAATTGCCATTTTCATTACACTACAGCTGTCAAATGTGGCAATTTCATACATGTCATTCAACCTGTTACCTGTCTTCAGTACACCAATGTTTGCCTTCTGTTAAATGTAGTCCCAGGGACAGGAGTGCTGGGCCATCAGGAGTAGACGTGCTGAGCTTTGGGAGAATGTGCCTAACAACATTCTGAAGTGCTTCTCTCATCTACACTTCCAACAGCACGTATGAGCATTCCAGCAGTTCTCTGTCCTTGCCAACACTCCAACCCACTGATGTAGCAGTATTAATGTTTTCACTTAAGCTATTCTAATGGGTGTGTAGTGGCTCATCTTGCATCTTCCTGGTGACTAATCCAGGTGAAACACCTTTTTGTTTTCTAATTTGAAGATCCTCTTTAGGCAAAATACCTAAGTCTCCTGTCCATTTTTTTCAGTTGTTTTGCTTTGCCGTTTCTTGTTAATTTGTAGGAATTTTTCACATATTCTGGAGAGATCTTTGTTAGCTAGACATATGGCAAATATCTTTTCACTCTGCAGAATAACTTTTTAGCTATGTAATAAATACTAGACAAAATTATTAGCAATTGGTACAAAAATAGCTTACACAATCTGTTTGGTATGCCGAAAGAAATTTCGGTTCTATATTTCTCCAGATGCGTCAATCTCCACATAAAAGGTTCTCTTCAGGTAGCTGCACCAATACCCTGAAGGCATTATTGTTGGCCTTATAGTTAGCATTAGGCAAGTAAAGTTCCTCAATACCAACACTGGGTTTTATTCTAACCCTGATATTGTTTTTTAAGTTTATTTACAAGGGAAATTAAAAGAGGAAGGAGGGTGGGGGAAACCCTAAGTAATATTCTAAAAGTTAGAGAACACAGTGTTTACACGTCTACATCCTGTTTCTAAGGGAGGGGATTAACCCCCCCAAATATTAGGCAATTCACATCTATCTGATGGTGAATTCAATTCTACCAATTCCAACGACAGCCCGTTTCTAATATCTGTTACATATGTGGTCATTTATATATTTTCTTTTTTAAAAGGTTTATTTATTTATACATACAAGAACTGGGGTACAGGTTAGAGGTGTGGGGCAGGAATGAAGAGGATTCACCAGAGATAGAATGGGGAGGAGAACAGGCAGATCTACTGAAATACACTGCTGAGAGAAGCAGCAGCGAGACAGACATCTGCTTGTACCATGTGGGTCAGCTCCCTGGTCAGGAATAGGATTCATGCTCCAGTGGCTGTTGATAGCTTGTTAGTGTTGAGGCTTAACCCCTATGCCATGAGGAAGACCCCATTCATATATTTTCTTTTTTTATTAAAGGTTTATTTTTATTTATGCATACAGGAACTGGGGTGTAGGCCAGAGTTGTGGTGGGGTGGTGAGATAATTCCCCAGAGACAGACTGGGGAACAGAACAGGCAGACTGACTGAAATACACTGCTGAGGGGAGCAGTGGGTCATCTCCCTGGCTGGGGACTGAACTTGTGCTGCAGTGGCTGCAGACAGTTTCACAGTGCTGTGCTTCGACCTGTTGTGCCTAAATAAGTACTTTAAGTAAAACATCAATACTAGGGCCCGCCCTGGTGGTGCAACAGGTTAGGATGCAGCACTGCAACTATTTCAGTGCAAGTTCAATCCCCAGCTCTGGGGATGACCCACATGGCATGGCAGACCTCTCCTGATATGTACTTCATCAATTTGCCAGTTCTGCTCCCCACTATGTCTCCCCAATCTCTCACCACCCCTGCACCTCTGGCTTGTGCCCCAGTTCTGTATAAATAAGTAAATAAATCTTTAAAAAATTTTAAGAAAAAAAAATCAACACTAGCTAACAGATTATAACAATAGAATGAGTGGGAGAAGACAGGGACAGCTACACAGGGAAGCTACAATATAAACAGGGAAGCAAGAAGGATCTAGTTTCTAAGGAAGATAGTAACTTTCACTTTGAATGCTCAGATTCTGGTTTACAGTAAATCATGCAAAGTGGTTGCCTCTTTCCTACCCACTTTCAATCTTCCATCAAAATGTAATTCTGCGTGACACAGCAGGAATATAACAGACCTGCGATAAAATGATAATAATAATGAACAGCTATATACCAGAGACATTTTATGGGGGTGGAGTAGGGAATGGGATAAAAAACAGTGTGGGGAGGAAAATGCACTGGACTATGGTGATGGCACACGGGTGATTTGGTGATGGGAAGCCCACGGGGATTACAACTGAGATGGAAAAATGCACAAAATGACGTAAAAATAAACTATTATATTATTTTTAAAAATGTAATTCTGAGTGAACGCTCTGAGGAGCATTCCTTGAAGGTCGTTAATAACTAGGTCCTAAGAACGGGTGATACTCTAATGAGTGAACTGACATTTATTGAATCCTTATTATATGCCAGGTTCTCTGTATCTAGCTTCTTATTAATCCTCTTAGCAGCCCTGTAGAGCAAGTATTACCTCCATTTCACAAAAGAGGAAGTTGAGGGTCAGAGAGGATGAGAAACCTATTAAGGCTCTACGGTTACCAAGTGATTTGTTATAATTCGCTTGAACCACATCATCTCTGAAAGCACCAATCACTTATGACCACATGTGATAGTTTCCTAGGGCCACTAGAACAAATTACAGCAAACTGGGAGGCTTAATACTGAAATTTATTCTTTAAAGTTCTAGATGTTTTGTAAAAGTCTGAAATTAAGGTATCAGGAGGCCTGGCTCCTTTCCCATGCAACTCTCCTTGCTTCTGATGACCTGCTGGTAGTTTTTGGCCTTGGCTTGACTTGGAGATGCATCACTCTCATCTCTGCCCCAATTCTCATCATTTTATAAGGAACCAGTCATACTGGATTAGCCTTCCCTCCCCCCCCCATACACATGCATATACAGTGTGACCTTATTTTAGCTAATTTCATTTGCAAGGACCTAGTTTCCAAAAACTAGGTCACACTCTGAGGTAGTGAGAGCTAGAACGTCAACATATTTTTCTGAGGGATACAATTCAATCGGTAACACCTCATTAAATGGAATAAATACTAGAGTTAAAAGGAAATTATTTCCTTTTGACTTGGAGGATTCTGCACAAAAAGTTGACATTATTTCTTGTTAGATTCATAAGATCCCCTCAAATTCCCAAAATTTTATAAGTAATTTTTATTAACACTAAGGACCCACCCTATTCTTACTGCCTCCCTGGCTGTATCTACAAGCAATACCATTTCATAAAGACACAAACTCATCTTCTTCCCATTCAAAAGTCACCTCTCTCCTGATTTTCCTGTTTTTGTTTATTTTACAAAGATAGTCTTCCCATCTTCCATCCAGAATTAATGAATTCTCCACTCCTTAGCATTGCCAGAAAACAAGTCCTTACGTCTTTATGGCTGCCTGCCATACTTTCTTTGTTCTCACTTTCTTCATTACCAGTCCAACCTCATACTGCTATATATGGCAAATATTCTAGAAACACACCTCCAGTCTGACTCCACGAAAGCCTCAATGGTTTCCGGTTACCTAGTGGGGGTATTTAAAGTTCCGCCCTGCTTTCAAGGCCAAACCAAATTTGGCTCCGGTGTCCATCCCTTCACGATGAAATATTGCTCGGACGTGGAAGGCACAGGACCCAAGCAACCCCTTCCGGCCCCGACCTCCTGCTTGCATGCCGGTTCCCTGCTGAGCTCTGAACACCTAGCAGTTAGTCCATTCTACCTGGTAATATGGTTATTTGTATACCTTGCACCTACCCTGGCATCATCGTTTTAAGTGCCTAAGAGAAACCCAAGGAATCTCCCAGAAGGGACTCTGCTAATTGTGGGCAAAAACTGACCTAGCCAAATCCTTAGAGATTTGATCCAGCCGCTGTCAGGGATCCGGTGGCATCAACACGTTCCCAGAGGCAGTAGAATAAAAGCGGCTGGCAACAGGGCACAGCGCGGCGCTTGCTAGGGAATGGAGCCGAACTCTGGCCCGCCCACTTCGCAGTGAGCTCCTCCTCCCGCCCTCCCCGGAACGCAGCTTCGGCAGGAACCTTCCGAAAGATCGGACACTTCGGGGTGAGGGACGCAGGAAACGGAAGTCAGTGGCGGAAACCTGGACTGTGGGAGTCTACTGCTTTATAACGTGGAGGATGAGCGTAATGAGTCTCATTTTGGCGGGAGGTAGGGTCCTGGAATAGTGGGTTAATTTTCCGGCTCCCCCTTAGCTCCTGGTTCTGGAGTATTAATCGCTGAGGTCCCTTTTCCAGCACCTGGCCTACGGGTTCACGATCAATTTCTAACGAGACTGGGTCGCGGGTGCAAGTCTCGGTTTCTAACTGCTTGCTCACCTCTGGCTCCTTTAGTAACTGGGATAGCGGAGTGATTTTCTGTTAGTTTCACAACCATATAAGTTGTTTCTTGCATGGCTTTTCTTGCAGAAACGTAGGCATACTAGAAATCTTGAAAAGTGTACAGAAGAAAATTAAAACGATAAAATGTACCACTCAGCTAAAACATTCTTATAAATGGATTAGATTTAATTTTATTTGGTTCCACCAGAACCAGTGAAAATAGAAAACTAATTTCACTAGTGAAAATATTCTTAGATGAGAATTACAAAAATTCCCGTTAAAGTTGAAAGTATCAAAAAGTAGAGCAATTGAAAATGTTTAAAATACATACTTTTTAAATTGTCATAAGGTTTCTAACTAGTAAAACTTAGGGCTTAACACAAGACATTTCTCATGAATAAAAATAGAAAGCTCTTTAAAAATATGTAACCATATTAACAAAAGAAATTTTTAATTTATAAGTTAAAAAATTTAATTTGTAACAAAGTTTCTATTTTGCTAAATTTTCATTCTAGGGAGGTGGAGATGTTTGCCAGTTCCATTAGAGTCATCCTTCTTCCAGACCCTACATTATTCCTGCCGTCGAAAAAAATCTACTGCTCCTATGAACATTCATGAAAATGCAGAGGAGCCTGTTAATGCATTTGACAAGCTGTTTTCCTCAGAACAGCAGGCTTCCATCTTGCATGTACTGAATACAGCATCTAATAAAGAACTTGAGGCTTTCAGACTGCTTCGTGGAAGAAAGTCCAACAATATTGTACAGCATAGAGAAAAGTTTGGGCCGTTTCAGAATTTGGAAAGTTTAATGAATGTTCCCTTGTTCCAGTACAAAACTACCATTCAAGTTTGTAACTCCATTCTTTGTCCAGAGACTGGCCAGAAAAAAAGACAGTTACAGGAAAACCGGCTCTTGAGAAAGCTCATCAAACCAGATGTAGGAAAAGAAAAGCTCAAGGTATACCCTTTTTCTTGATCTTTTACACTGCCTAAATTATTGAGAACCTGCTCCAAATAGCACTACTAGGTACCGGAAGACATGGCTCCTCAGGCAACTTACAGTTTTGATGGGTCCAGATAGACATACAGTGTTATCTATTCTACACAGTAGTACATGATTTTTACCAAATAAGATGTAAGATAGTAAATCGTCACTTTAAAGAAGAGAGAACTGTGAGCTGTGATTATTGGGGACTTCTACTGGAAGAACTCAGCCTTGATCCTGAAGGAGAGAATTAGGCTAACTAAAGAGGATGGGATTTTAACAAGAACAAACCAATCATGTAGAAAAGGTCTGTGAGGTTTGTTTTAGAAGTGTTATGGCCAAGCAGTGATTTTCAAACATTATACTAGTCTTTCCCACAAACATATTTTGCATTCCTTTCATTCTCCTTTAAAACCATTCTAAAAGCAGATCTTTTTCAGTACTGCCTTAAGAAATAGCTATTACTTGGCATATCAGATATTAAGCTTTGGCAGAACTTAGATCATATGTAGTAAAGTTTTCTCTCATACCTTACGTATTATTTTTTTTCCTGGATAGATAGTTATCAGACAATAGGATACTTTTTGAAAAGTAGAACTGATGAATTATACTATATTTGATGAAAGCTATGGATCCTCTTCCCAGAAAAAAAAACTGTGTGAGAGAGAAAATTTCCCACTCATACAGAATACTGCATACTTTTAGAGGATTTGGAGGTTTCATAAGTCCATCGACTCTAGATATAACTCCTATTATAACTGATCTGGAACAAAGTTCAACCAAAATTTCAGAGTTTTTGGCCTTTCATTTAAATTTATGACTGAAATTACTGTTTACACTAAGATTATAGTGGCTTTGCATCTTTATTTAGAGGGTTAGGTTCTAAAGTCAGTTTTTATGGAGAAAATTGTACAATAGAGTCATTTTTAAAAATTTTGTTGCCCATGAGATACTGTGTACAACCTGGTTCAGGCACACTAAAGCCTGAGATCATTGAGCTAAAAAATGAAAACCAAAAGATGGCCTACATTTTGTAGCTGTCTGGGTATCCAAACTATTATGGCTTTAAGATATTTATTCCTTGGCTGTGAAAGGGAGGTGGAATTGTAATTACAAACTATATATCCTGCTTAGCTGCCTCTATATCTGTAGATCATAATCCTTTGTTCAATAACTAAATAAGTCATATAGGAGTGAGGTGAAGCCATTCGTACTATAGCTGTAGCCCAAACTTAGAATTAAATCCATATATCCAATTACTTATTATACAACTCCTCTTAGAAGCCCTATGGGCAACCCAAACTTAATTCAGTAAACAATTCATTTTCCCTCTTTCCTAAATTGATCTGTCTCCTATCAATTTGATTGATGCTGTCATTGAAATAAAACTATGGAGTTGTCCCAGGATCATCCTCTATCCCACTTAAATTCTACTCCCATTACATCTCATCTGTTTCTTGTCCTTCTGTCATTATCTTTGTCATATAACAGGCACCTAATGCAAATCCCTCTCTGGCCCATAATCCATACAGCTGGCAAAAGATTTTTCTGAAATATCAATGTCATGTTATTCTTGGTGGCTCCCTGAAGCTTTCATGATAAAGCAGGTTACTTTTTGCAGTAATCTGTCTACTTGTCTACTCCTTTTTCCTTCCCCACTTGTGAGCCTTATTTCATTGCCTGAGAGTCAGGTGTCAGCCTGTCTTTGTGGCTATCTGTGTGAAATGACTTGTTTACCATTTTTCTCTATGTCCTATATTAAGTCTTCCTCAACTGTTTTTCCTCTCTTGTGTAACTGTTTGATGGTGGCATTTCTTACAGTTGTTTCCCAGAGTCTAGCACAGTGCCTGGGAACATTTGAATGCATACTTTGAGCTTGGTGCTGAGATCCTATAAAGGTTCTTCATCTATAACTGGTAGTATCAACCGCATCTCTTGCATTTAACAATTTTCAGTTTATAAATTGTAAATATATTTTTATCACAAATTAGTTTGACATTCTTGCATATAGCTTAAAGTTTTTATTAAAATAGTTGCAACCTTAAGTAAATCAGCCTTTTGTTTTAGGCAGTTAATAGTATCGTGTCCATTGTTTTTGGTACTCGAAGAATTGCCTGGGCTCACCTTGATCGAAAGTTGGCAGTGCTTGATTGGCAGCAAAATGAATGTTGCCAGTTGATTAAAGGAACATACCCATCATCTGTCTATTTTGAAAAGGTAAGGCAATTGTATTAGAGCTTGATTTAACCTTCTACTTTCAAAAGGAATATAATAGTAAGGATAGATTTTTATTTGGTACTTTTTACCCATTCCTGTTATGTTTTCTATCGCCTATATTTAGAAGGTAAACTTTCACTTAGTTCAAGAAATACCTTACATATCCCTCTGTAGCTTGAATTTGATCCCTGGCCAGAGAGCTCACCCTCATGGCACAGCAGACCTCTCCTATCTCACCTGCTGCTCCCCTCAGCAGTGTATTTGAGTAGATCTGCCTGTTCTTTTCCTCACTCTCTCTGATGAATACACTTACACCCACACTTCTGGCCTACACCTCAGTTCTTCAATAAACAAACAATTTTTAAAAAGATACTGAGAAAATCAATAGTACATTTAAATGTTATTGAGCTTTATTACTGTATTTCTAAAGCTTATTTTTCAAAATGGTATATTACCTTACTTGTGTTTTCAAACTTTGAGAGGTGGGCAACAATTTTCATTCTGGTTATACCAATGAAAACTAGTTCAATGAAGCAGTCTGTGATTAATTAGGTGAGAAGTGACTGATTCTAATAGTTGTTCTAATTGTATTGTTCTTCCTAAAAAAGTGTTTTACTTGAATATTGCTTTGTAACATTTGAGTATACACCTTTTAAATCAACACCTATGTAAACTAATTGTTTTCATTTATCACCATACGATTAATTTTTACCCAATTTAACCACTTCCCCCCACTTTAAAAAAATGATTCATTTCATTTATGCATACAAGAACTGGGGTACAGGCCAGAGGTGGGGGAGGCAAGAGGATTCACCAGAGACAGAGTAGGGAGCAAGCAGAACAGGCAGATCTACTGAAATTCACTGTTGAGGGGAGCAGTGGGCGGGTCAGGAGAGGTCTGCTGTGCCATGAGGGTCACCTGCCTGGCCGGGGATGGAACTCATGCTGCAGTGGCTGTGATAGCTTCACAGTAATATGCTTTAACCTGTTGTGCTACCCAAGGAGGACCCTTCACTTCCCCTTTGACCTTGTTCTTAGTCTACTTTGTTTTTGTTTTGTTTTCATTCATTCATTTTCTTTATGTGCTTCATATAAATGAAATCATATAGTATTTGACCTTATTGTGATTTAATTCACTAAGCATAATACTCTCTAGTTAATCCGTGATGTTGTGAAAGTAAGACTTCTTTTCATAGCTGAATAGTATTACCTTGTGTACATATACCATATGTTCATCAGCCATCTGTCATTGGGCACTTAGGTTGTTTCCAACGCTTGTCTCTTGTGAATAATTCTGAACATGGTAGCTCATATAGCTCTTCAAATTAATGTTTTTGTTTTCTTCAGTTAAATACCCAGAAGTGGGGTAGCTGGATCATTTCTGCCATTTTTTCTATAGTGGTTGTACCTCGCATTAACAGAGGGTTCCCTTTTCCCAACACTTGGGGTTTTTTTTTTTATTATTAGCCATTTTCTCAGGTTTGAGGTGATATTGTTTTGATTTGCATTTTTTGGATAAGAGATCAGCATCATTTTATGTGTTTTTTGGAGAAGTGTGATTTCAGATCCTCGGCCCATTTTTTCAAACAGATTTGTTGCCAAGTTTTACGAGTTTTTTATATTTTTGGGTATTAACTCCTTGCCTTATAAATGATTTGCAATTATCTTCTCCCATTCAGTAGGTTGCCTTTTCATTTTTTAGAAATTTATTTATGCATACAAGAACTGGGGTATATGCTAGAGGTATAGGGGTTGATTCACCAGAGACAGAGTGGGGAGCAGAACAGGTGGACTGCTGAGGGGAGCAGCAGGTGGGACAGGAGGTAATTCCTTGGCCAAGAGTTCTGCAGCTTAAGATAGCTTCATGGCATTGACACTTAACTCCTTGTGCACAAGGGAGGCCCCTCCCTTTTCATATTAATGGTGAACACAGTAGTCCCATTTCTTTTTGCTTTTGTTCCCCTTGTTGTTGGAGATGTATCCACAAAGACATCACTGTGGCTGGTGTTGCGTTTACCACCTGTATTTTTTTTCTATGTACTTTATGGTTTTAGGCCTGACATTGAAGTCTTAAATATCTTGAATTAATTTTTGTATGTGGTTTAAGATTGTGGCCTAGTTTTATTCTTTTACACTTGACTGTCCAGTTTTCCCCTTTGTTAAGAGATTTTTTTTTTTTTTTTGCTCTGCTATATGCTTTTGACTTCTTTGTCATAAATTAGTGTCCATATATATTCTGGGCCTCTCAATTATGTTCCATGGATCTGTGTCTGTTTTTGTTCTAATACCATGTTGTTTGGATTGCTTTGTCATATATCCTTTAAGTTAGGGATAGTGAAATCTTTACCTTTCTTGTTTTCTCGGAATCATTTACTACTTGAGGTCCTTAACAATTGCTTTTAGGTTAAGTTTTAAATTGTCTAATCTTAAAGCCAGTTTAGATTTTAGAAATTATGAAGCCCATTTCCCAATGAGGAATCTGGTACTTAGGACTAGATGGCTTGTCTTAGCTCTGTTCCTGGTAGAACCATGACCAGAACTTGGCTGTGCCAATTCCTCCGTTAGATGCCTGTTGTTACTTCAAAATTTTCATTATAGATGAAAGTGTAAAAGTTTCATAACTGTTTTTTTGAAAGTAGAAATGGGGATAGAAAGGGAAATCAAGCATAATTAATTATTTCTACTTTTTTTTTTTTTTTTTTTTAGATTTCTTCAGTCATATCAAAGATGCCTAAAGCTGACTTCTATGTTATGGAAAAAATAGGACTTTCCATTCAGAACACAACTCTATTTCCTGTATTGTTACATTTTCATATCTTGGAAGCCATGCTCTATGCCCTATTAAATAAAACTTTTGGCCGGGATGGCCAGCATCAAGTGCTAAGCATGAATCGAAATGCAGTGGGAAAGCACTTTGAATTGATGATTGGTGACACAAGGACTAGCGGAAAAGAACTAGTGAAGCAGTTCCTCTCAGACTCCGTGCTGAAGCCAGACCCACGGGTATTCTTCCCATCAGATAAGATAGTCCGCTACAGACAGATGTTTTCATCTACTGAACAAAACAGAGTAGAAGAGTTGTATGATTCATTATTACAAGCTGTTGCCTTCTATGAATTAGTAGTTTTTGACACTGAATCTTAAAATTGTGGGGTTAATTTATTGTCTTTTTAAAGTTGTATTAATTTGTATTTATCAGCCCAAATGCTATAAATTCATGGTAATGGAAAACATGTTTGAGTATATTTAAGTGTTTCAAGTAAGATTTTTGGCTGGTAATTTATATAGTAATAAACCAAGGCCAAATCAATATCGTATGAGATTCTGTGCCTTTTAGGTTTTAAGTATTCAACAATGAGATCATCCACTAAATTGCACAAACAAGAAAGTTATGTCCCTTTAAAAGCAAATGTCATCTGGAGGATCTGCATAATTTTACTGTTAGAGAATGATTTATCTGGCTGCTGCTTATGGGAATAAAGCTAAATATAATAGACACACAACAGTGGACTCCTCTTCTTATTCTATAAATAGAATGTAGTTTGATGAAGTCTCCAAAAGGTGGTTTTTCTTTTTTTTTTTTCAAAGACATTTATTTATGCATATAGAACTGGGATGCCAGTGTGGTGAGAGGATTCACCAGAGACAGAGTGGAGAGCAGAACAAGCAGACTGATGAGGTACACTGCTGAGGGAAGCAGAGCAGCAGGTGAGTCAGGAGAGGTCTGCCATACCATGTGGGTCACCTCCAGGGCTGGGAATTGAACGAGCACTGAAGTGGCTGTGGCTAGCTTGCAGTGCTTTACTTTAACCCGTGGCGCAACCAGAGAGGGCCCGAAAAGGTGGTTTTCATCACTCAATCTATTAAACCCACAACGAACAAGCTTTGTTTAATAGCCTCATTTAAAAGAAATCATATAATTGTTTATTTTTACGACATTTTGTGCATTTTTCCATCTCAGTTGTAATCCCCGTGAGTTTTCCATCACCAAATCACCCATGTGCCATCACCATAGTCCAGTGCATTTCCCTTACCCCACCGTTTCTGATCCCATTCCCCAATCCACCCCATAAAATGTCTTTGGTATATAGCTGTTCATTATTATTAGTATTTTCTCGCCTGGTCCGTTATATTCCTGCTATGTGTAAAACAATCCGGTATTTTTCCTTTTCTTTCTATAATAGCTTCATTTTTTGCTGTGAAATATTTCACCTGACAGACCATCTTTTGAGAATATGCTTTTCCCCACATTTCTCCATTTTCCATTTTATTTCAGTCTCATTTATTATACCTATACTAAATCCAAGTCACTTTGATGTCAAAAGATTGTCTTTTCCCTCCCCTTAAAAGTAAAACATACGGGCCCTTCCTGGTGGCGCAGCAGGTTAAAAGCACAGCACTAAGAAGCTAAAGCCATTTCCGCATGAGTTTGATCCCCACCTGCCCTGGAGGTGACCACATGGCTCAACAGACCTCTCCTGACCCGCCCGCTGCTCCCCTCAACAGTGTACTTCGTCGATCTGCCTGTTCTGCTCCCCACTCTGTCTCTGGTGAAGCCTCTCACCATCTCTGTGCCTCTGGCTTGTACCCCAGTTCTGTATGTACAAAGAAATAAATCTTTAAAAAGAAAAAAAAGAAAAGTAAAACATACTTGTTAGAAAAAATTCAGGTAATCAGAAATGGATAAAATAAGTGAAAGTTCTCCCTTCCTGCACCAGCTCTTAGGGAGTTTGGTGACCACTCTGAGCTTGTTGCCATGCAGATGTAAATCTCTACTTTTACATTTGTAGTTGTACACACAAATACCTGTACCTTGAAGTTGTACATACCTTTACCTCCATGTCTAAATTATTCTCTTTCCTCCAAGCTACCTCCATTGCCATTGATAACATATTTTGGTAAACAGCTTCACTAACCAACCTGTTGTTAATGTTGGATATATGGCTTTCTGCTGTCCACATATTTCTGTAAGGAGGTATACGTGAATGTGTCTTCTTTAGACATTTATAAGATACTCTATGTTGAAAGATCATTAATATTTGATTATTTTTACCACACAGGTACATCTAAATCTTATAGAAATGTGTCATCTGAAGGAGAAATTTTCTTCCAAATTATACTAAACCTCAGAAAGATTAAATGTGTTCCTAGTAAGGAGGAAGGCAGGAGCTCAGAGTACTGTAGTGATGGTGCAGGGGTGACTTGGGGGAGTACACAGGGTCTACACCTAAGGAAGGGGAAAAAGTAGACACTTTAAAAATGAACAATGATGTAAAATAAAATTAAGTAAACGTGTTCCTAGTAGGGAGGAAAATATCCACATTATTTCTTGATTTTTGAACACTTAAAGTACAATTCTGGGGAGTTATTTCACCTTTGTTCTTTTGACTACTGGGAATTAGAATTTCCTACTAAAAAAGACCAAATTAACAGGGGAAAGCATTCAGTACATAGTAAATTCTGTGAATTCAATAGGAAAAGAAAATTTGTATACTTTAAAAAATGCTTTAGATCTCAGCCCTCCCTGGTAGCGCAACAAGGTTAAAGTGGCAGCACTGTAAGGGAGCCACAGCCCCTTCAGTGCAAGTTTATCCCCGGCCCTGAGGTGACCCACATGGCTTGGCAGACCTCTCCTGACTCACCTGATGCTACCCCCAGCAGTGTATGCTTTGATCTGCCTATCCTGCTCCCCACTGTCTGGTGAATTCTCTCACCACCCCTGTACTTCTAGCCTGTCCACCAATTCTGTATGAATAAATAAATAAATCTTATTTTAAAAAAAAGCTTTAGATCTCATTTTCTTGTACAGAGATGAAACCTATAAAATATAGTTTATATTCAAAACTGTACAATGCCCATATTTATCCAGATGCTTACATTGGAATTCCTATTTAAATACTGTGTAAAGCCTTTTAGCTTTAACCTTTAATTAGATCAATATACTCGCAATACAAGTTATGTTAAACAAATAAAGAGGTTAAAACAAACATTTGTAAACAGGTGTACATCTATATTTTTCAGCTGTACATAATTAGGATCCTTACCATCTGAGTTGAAATTATAATTCATGAGATAATGTAACAAAATACTAATAATATATAAGCACCTGAAAAATGAATCCAGATATACCTAATCATCTTACTATAAAATGATTTTAAGTAAAATGTATATTTTTAAAACTTAAAAATATTTTTTCCAAAAACAGCCTCATGTGAAAATGGCTATTATATAGAAACCTTATAGCAGAATCCATCTTCATTAGTTTTAATGAATAGCAGTTTATCCAAAATAGATATATTCACATCATTAATATCTTTATGAAAAAAAAACATGATATAAAAATACAAGGAAAATGTACAAGGAAAGTGATTAAAATTGTCAAAATATACAAGAGCATATATGTATGGCTGCTAAAAAAAGATTAATGAAGAGTACAATTCATAATTGTGATTTCACTTTGCCAACATTCAGTGATTCAAATGGTAAACTTATTGGAGAAATACACTAGAAATAAATGTATCAAGATGAGCTTACTTTTTGAAAAGTTAAGCATAATTTCCTTCCTAGAAGGTTTTCTTATGTGTTGTATATGTGATTTTGTACTGGGTAAACATATTTAAAAAGATTATCACTGAGGTGATTCATATTTACAAGTGTGGATACTTGGCTAGAAAGAGGTGAATTAAAAGTTAACAGAAAAGGAAAAATTTTGGATTAAGTTAGCACCAAAACATCTTTAGAAATACTTTAGTGGATTCTACCTTCTAGAAACAGTTCACTCACAAAAGTACTCCAACAAAGCTAACCTCGATAATACAAAGACATTCAGGGGGAAAAAATACTACTACAATCATAAATACAATTGGTAACTCAACTTTTTTCATTTAAATATTTGCACACTAATAAAAATATACAGTCTTAAATTTACATCGAGAGTAAGTTCTTCCATGAAAATCCATATAAAATTGTCTTAAGGAACACATCATAATCTGTACAAGGCATTAAAGTGGAATATTAAGGAAAGTCAGCTGCTAATGTGTTCACAGTCTCTTTTGAAATGTTAAGATGAATTCCTTCAAGATAGTGCAGGAATCTGCCAAAATTACAAGGAGAAAAGACATTTCCATGAAATGAGAATATTTATTACTCTTGAAATAGCTATATAAATTTAATTTCATAATTTTTTTCTTACCTTCTTTTACTTTTCCCTTGTTCTTTTAGCTTCTCAGTCCTACAAATATTTCGAAGAGTTGGCAAGTATTCAATTACACTAGCTTGTCTATTACCCAGGTTCAGAAGAGATCGGCTAGAAAACACACTTTTAATGACCGCTATCCTCTTCCAGGCACTGCTGTAAATGAAAAGTAATGCATTACTTTATTTTTAATGCCCTCCAAGAAAGCCACAATCCCAAACACAATCAGTCTTTGCTCTCTGCTTCTAATCTATACTGGATTAAATGGAGTCCAGATAAATTCACTGTGTCATTTTCACCACACCAGTCACTCCCATATGAGAAGTCTTCAGTGGCTGTTTCCCATCAAAGCTGATCCAAACCCCTTTTCCTTCCAGTCTTCCACTCTTCCAGTCTCCCAGGTATTGCCCACCATCATCTCTCATTTCCTTTTCCATAGTCGGGTTTTAACGATCACATTAAAAGCTATATTACCAATATTAGAGGCTTACCATTGTCAATAAATCTGAATATTTCAAAATCAGTAAGAAGAATACTAAGTTTCCCTTTGCCACTTATTATTGAAAAAATAACAGTAAAACTTACTCCAAATTAGCAGCTGATTGACTGAAGTACACATTGTTGCGCTTTTGTGAAACATAAAAAGTAAGCTCTTCAGATGGATCTTTCTCTAATTTCTTGCAAGAATTCATGGTTTCCAATGCTTTTGAAATAGTCGAAGAACATTTAGTAAAGCTGAGAGCTTCTACAGATGCCTTTAACTCTCGGGAGCTTTGAGAAATCCATCCATCATTACTCTCAAGACTAAACTCATCACAAAGTCCACTTTTAACCTTCCCATTTGTCCAACTAAAGTCATTTTTGCCAAATTCCTTCTGCTCCCTTCCATTAGTTAAAAGGGCATCTAAAAAGGACATGTTATCCATGAACTCAGTGAGAGAATTTAAACAATGAGAAACGAGGGCAGAACATTTTTTTTCTGCTGCTGTTTTAGGAGGACAAGAAGTAGATTTGTTTAGTTTCTTTGTCTCTGGATTGCTTTCCATGTCTCTCACTTTGTTTTCTTCTGAATTTGAGGAAGGTGGTACAGGGGACAAGTTAATAAGTTCATCAAAAAAGTCCAATTGAGTGTCAAATAAGTCACTATCATCTAGAGTTACTATCTTTTTCTTATGTTTCTTTTTTTGGGATTTTTTCAATAGCTGTTCCCTTTCAGAATCCTTCCTAGTATGACATTTCATATTTTTTGTTGCTGTACTGGTGTCCACATGTACAGATGAACCATAAAAGTTTTCTCTTTCTGGAATGACAGCAACAGGTAATGGTAGAATGAACTCCAGATTACTACCTAAGAAATCTACATTCTGCATTTGGAATTCGGTAAGGAGCTGGATGAGCTTATGCCATTCTTCCTTTGTTGTGATTTTGTGCTGAAAAACAATTTTGAATGAAAAAATGTCATATATATATAAAACAGTGTATTGTCTGAAAATTTTCTACTCGTGAATACCATGTCATCCCTATTCTATCTCCAATAATTAGTCACCACTCCTCATTTTACCAATCTGTACTCGCTAAGTCTAAAATTAGGACTGTTAATTTGAAGAATTACATTCTTTGATATTCAGCACATAATTCAATAATCAGAAGCTCATTTATTTAAAAACCACTTCTCTGAAAGTAGTTTTATTGATCTGAAATACTTCCAAGTTCTAAATCCTGCAGCATGCATTTAGAGCAATGCCCATCCACTGTTTGTCAAAATGGTACATATTAAAATCATAAATCTGGAACTTATATACAATTTTTAAGCAAATTTAATGGACCTTAAGATTCAAGAGACAGGAGAGAATATAGAGAAGATGAAAAGAAACAAATTTAATATTCCAAATTAGACTTTGAAAATACCTTTAAAAATGAAAATAAGTCTTCACATGGGGAAAGTATGTTCTTAAGGCCAAACAAAGACTCAACACAGCCAGTGTCACATTTGGGAAGATCTATAAGATTCTTTTTAGCATTTTTAGGGTTATTTTTAGAAAAAGGGCCATCTTCAGAACAAGTAAGTTGTATACTTCTGCTATTTCCTCCTATAAAATAAATAAAAGGAAAGTTTAACTGTTCATATTTTTAACAAATTGTAGCAATTATTCAAAGTGTAAGTTGCATTGTTACCTTTATTTTTTCTTTTTAATATTTACTTATTTGGTGCAGGCCAAAGATGAGGGTGGTGGTGAGAGGATTCACCAGAGACAGAGTGAGAAGCAGAAGAGATGGATCTACTGAACTACACTGTTAAGGGGAACAGCAGGCAAGATAGGAGAGGTATGCTATGACATATGTGAGTTAGCTCCCCGGCTCAGGCTATGGTAGTGACAGTGCTGAGACTTGACCCCTAGGCCTCTATGTTGTATTTTTCCAAATAGCTAAATAATTCATTAGGAGTATAATAGGAGTATAATACAAACATTATTTCTAACATACACATGTTAAGTGGGGGTACTATAAATGAGTTCACAGCAAGGACTGTAAACAAGCAAGACAGAAGAAATACATCTATCTAATAAATTCATGAAAAAGATGTGCAGTTTCACTAGTGACACTGGAAATGAAGAAATAAGGTGCCATTCACTTTTCACCTTTTAAATTGGCAAAATTAAAATAACCATTAACCTACTTTTGTCAAAATTACACAAGAAAGGACCATCATATACTCCTTGTGTGGTCATGAATTTATGCAATTGTCTTTAGAGGCCAATCTGGCACTACTTATCAAAATGCTAAATGTAAGTATATATATCCCAGCTAGCAACCACACTTCTAGAATTCTTTCAGAAGTATTCACAGATATGTTCGAGGATATATTTATATGTGTATGAAATTAGAGCATGCATATTCACTGCCTGACAAACTGGTAACTTACTCACTAATAAGTAACAAAATTATGTTACCTCCCTTCTATACCATGGAATATCATGCAGCTATGAAAAAAAGGATGAGGTCAACTGTATATACTGACACCAGTCAAGTCAAACAAAATGGCAAGTTTAATACTATCTACAATATTGGTTAATTATCTAAATAAGCTGGCAGCAATGTTAGTTCATGCACTGAAAAAATTTTCACTGGGACTACCTTAAAGAAGTGGGAGAGATCTACTTTTTTACTCTTAGATTTGGCACTTTTTGATTTTTTTAATGAGTAGGTAACTATTTTTTATAAAAAGAAATGAAAAGCATGAAGAGTTTCAAGAAAAGAAATATGCTATACATACTTTGTCTTCTAAAGTTCTTTATATAGTATTTACATCAAGTATTAAAAAAGTTACTAACTTATTAATTTATGTTTTATAAAGGATATTTTCCAAGTATCATTTATCATATTTACTTCTATAAAATATTAAAATTACCAGTTTATAGTGATTTAAATATATAGGTGTGTCTACTTTGAAAAATGTCTTAAACTTTAAACTAATCAAAGAAAGCTGATGGGGGGATAACATTATATAACTTCACCTTTGTTTTATTTAAATATTTATTGCCCAGAACGGGATCTGTAACTACAGAACTGGGACTTGGAACATGGAAATTACAAACTATGAACTTCTTCAGGGAAGAAACCATGTTTTACTCATGTAAACACAGGACCTGGTGTGGAGAGTATCCTCAGTAAATGTGACTTGGATCAGGTAATAATGACTAAAAATTAATGAGAAATAAAATAAAGCACTTCTGAAATAACAAAGTTATATTAAAAAATAGAATGACAGCCTATTGAAGTCAAAAGGGAACTTATAGTACAATATGAAAATAACTTATAAAGATGAAAATATCACCAATATACTTTTTGATTAAAAAAAAAACCCTGCTAAATAAGTAATATAGTTCTATTTGTTTGTATGAAACTATAAATGTTCAAGTAGCAATTTGTATGATGTTCAATTTAATTGTTTACTCACATTTGTAAGTTTTTAATCAACAAAGCTGACTATGTGTATTTAGTAAAATAACTGGATACTTAAAATTTTACAATCTTTTGTAAATAATATATTTTAAAACAGGGTCACACCACAGAAATTTCTTTTATAACATATCAACTTACGAGAAAGTGATAATGGCCTTTCTTCTAAAAATCCACCTCCACTTCTAATCCAGAATTGTAAGTAAAGGATACTTTTTCTGATATCACAAGTATTTGCAGTTAACAATGTTATAAAGTCTTTTATATCTGTTCTACAATTCTCAGTCAAGCAGATCATCTGTAAGTAGCTGGCAACATTCAGCTGAGAAACAGCAGAAAAAGAAACACGGTCAAATATAGAATTAATATGGGTAAAATCAAATAAATGGATAACTCCAATTCCTGGTTAGTATGTGAAAAACAGCTCATATATTGCAAATCACTGGAAAACCAGAAAAAAATTTTGTAAGGCTCTTATAATGCAAAGTAGACCAATAATTCTTTTTTCTAATTTATGCATACAAGACCTAGAGTGTAGGCCAGAAGTGGGGGTGGAATGGGAAGAGTGAGAAGATTCACCAGAGACACTGGGGAGCAGAACGGGCAGATCTAACTGAAATACCCTGCTTAGGGGAACAGAGGGCAAAACAGGAGAGGTCTTGTTAAGATTTTAAACCCTAAGCCAGCAGGGAGGCCAAATTCTATCTTTTTTCTTTTTTTAAAAAAGACTTTAGGCCCTCCCTGGTGGCGCAGCAGGTTAAAGCACTGCACTAAGAAGCTGAAACCACTTCCGCATGAGTTCGATTCCCACCTGCCCGGGAGGTGACCACATGGTGTGGCAGAACTCTCCTGACCCACCCGCTGCTCCCCTCAGCAGTGTACTTCGTTGATCTGCCTGTTCTGCTCCCCACTCTGTCTCTGGTGAAGTCTTTCGCCACCCCTGAGTCTCTGGCCTGTACCCCAGTTCTGTATGCACAAATAAATAAATCTTTAAAAAAAAAAAAAAAGACTTTAAAGTCACAGCAGCTTTATATGGAACAGTGACACTGGAAACAACCCCAATGTCTATCAACAAGTGAATGAGTAAAAACACTGTGGTACATCTGTATCATGGAACCCCGCTCATTAATAAAATCAAAAGAACTACAGGCCTAAGTAATATGAATGAATCTGAAAAGGCATTTTGGTGTGTAAGAGAAACCAAATAAAGAAAATAACTACATATTAGAAGATTGTACTGGCAATTCTACAAGAGGCAAAATTATAGTGACAGATTGTAGTTGTCAGGACTAAAGAGTAGGAACAAAGACAAAACATAAGATGGCATGAGGGAAATTTCTAGAGGTGATAATATTCTGTATCTTGACAGACAAATTATACTTGTATTTGTTTTCATTTACATTTGTCAAAATTCACTGAGCTATATCTTTAAAATTTTTTAAATTTCTCTATATATTTTGTATCATTATTCATTTTTGTATAGTTTGCTTTCTCCTCTCAGGTGTAATCCCCATAAAATTCCCATCACCAAGTCACCCATGAAACATTACCATTGTCTCTTGTGCTTATCCCGCCCCTGTTTTAATCCTTGTTGCTCCCATCCCCTGTCGAATGCCTCTGATTTATAGTTGCCTGCTGAGCCACACTCTGAAGGTGAATTTTACCATTTATAATTATACTTCAACAAAGCTAACTGTAAAAATACAAACATACACAGCTGGATACCACTCCCATGACTAAAGCTAGGAAGACTAATAACAGCGCCAGAATGCACAAGACATCTATCTGGCAGATTCCTAACAAATTAAACAATGTGATGCATCAGATTTAAAAAGACCACTGAAAGAATGCCATGAATAAATCTAAAACAGATAAACAGATATTAAGTATGTATATATATAAACATATATATATATAAAAACATATATATATATAAACATGTAATAAAAACATAACCCATAAGATATCCAAGGTCACATTATGTTTCCTTTGAAATTTCCAAACAGCTAAAACTAATCTAAGTTAATATACATTAGAATAGTGGTTACCTCTGGTGGAGAGGAAAATACTGACTAAAAAGGGGCCAAGATAACTTTGGAAGTGATGGAAGTGTTGATTATTTTGATCTGGATGAGAGACGAATAATTACATATGTTACTATTTGTCAGGTTGTACACTTGAAGGTATTTTAACTGATGTAAATTTCACCTCAATTTTCATGTTACCATGAAAAACACCAACGATCAGTCATCTAAATAAATATAACCATCAGAAGTTTATAAGTATTTAACATATACTTTAGCATTTTAACATCTTAAGATCATAACAAGATATCATAATAAACCACCTTTTTAAAAAAATAATTCTTTAATTTGAAAATACAGAATGCTTCAGGAATTTGTGTGTTACCCCTGACAGGGGCTGTGCTAATTTTCTCTGCATTGTTCCAATTTCAATATATGTACTGCCAAAGCAAGCATGGCTTTTTATATAATTCTGATGTTTAATTTATAATCATCAAAATTCAACTTACCAGCGAAGGAGTATTAAAATTAATTTCTTCAAAGCAGCCATCAAACATTAAACTAAAAGCTGGATCTATAAAAAAAATTTTTTTCAGGCATTAAGACTACTAGATAACTTTTTCTATGAAAATATTCTGCATTTCATCACTAATGAAAAGAAACTGTCATTACTTCTTTGCATTTTTTTTTTAAAGATTTATTCATTCATACAGAACTGGGGTACAGGCCAGAGATGTGGAGGGTGAGAGTATTCACCAGAAACAGAGTGGGGAGCAGAACAGGAAGATCGATGAAGTACACTGCTGAGGGGAGCAGCGGGCAGGCCAGGAGAGGTCTGCCACGCCATGTGGTCACCTCCGGGGCAGGCAGGGATCAAACTCATGCAGAAGGGGCTTAAGCTTCTCAGTGCTGTGCTTTAATCTGCTGCGCCACAAGGGAGGGCCATTTCTTTGCATTTTAACTAAGATGGAGTATCTAATTTCTTATTTTTAAAGGTTTATTTATGCCTAGTAGAATTGGGGTGTTGTCTAGCGGTGTGGCAGTAGGGTGAAAGGATTCACCAAAGACAGAGTGAGGAGCAGAAAAAGCAGATCTACTGAAATACACTGCTGAGAAGAACAGCAGGCGAGACAGGAGAGGGTTTCTGTGCCATGTGAGTCAGCTCCCTGGCTGGGAATCCAAATCATGCCACAATGGGTGGCATTAGCTTGATAGTGCTGAGACTTTAACTGTTATGCTACCAGGGAGACCCTATTAGTGGACTTTTAAAGGAATAGTCTCATCTAAAAATCAGCTTTCCAAAAATAAATTAACCAAATGTAATTAACTGTCAAATCATTGTTACTCACCACTTGTAGTAAGGATTACAGGTCTTTTAGTTGTGGCCATGAATGTTTTGATTGCATTCAAAAACCCAGCATCTTCTTCAAAAATAACATCAACCTAAGAACCATTTATTAGAATATTAATCTACTGAATAACAATGTACATACAGGATAAGAGTCATGCAGCATGGTAGCTATATTGTATGTCACAGATAAATTTTGTGAATTTATGGACAGTGCCATGTGCTTATAATGTCTTACATTATTAAGAGTGAAAAATTATTGAACATTACAAGCAAAAAAATGCACACCTGTGACTGGATAAATATGGGTCAAAATAATTTCTTCATTCATTGAACAATAATTAATTACCTAGAATTGCATTAATCATCTTCTAGAAAAATTCTTCCATGTTTGGCATTTTTATTTTCTTTAACTTCAAATAGATACAAGTTTTTCTAACTTCCTTGGCTAATCCTTTATAGCAAAATATACAGTAGCCTTTGCAGAAGTCTTATCATGAGACATCAGAATACATACACATCCTTAAACCTACCTCTTCAAAAAGAATAAGAGATGTTGCATTTTTCCTGTTGAGTTCCTCAGCTCCAAATTCTTTGACATTTGAGTTAGTTGTACTTATAGACTTAGTCTGAATAGTTTGTTTCAGTTCAAAAGAATTTTTGACTCCTGCATAAATAAAATCAATTTTTAATAGAACACTGGATATTGAGATTTTGATAGAATCTCAAACTGAAATTCCCTAGCAAAACTAAAACAAAATATCAAAACAAAAACATGTCAAGTATAGTTGAAAATGGTAATAGGAACCATGAAATATGCTCAAATATTTATGTATCAGGGTTGATTACATTTTAAAATGCCAAATCAAACTTGTGATTTAGTATTTTACCTTTATTAGTTTCCAGCAGTGCTCCTACTTCTTCATTATTTTTTGACTTGGAAGACACTTTAAAATAATTTGTCAGCGTTTTAGGTGGAAGCACTCGCTTTGGTCCACTACATTTCGGTGATGGCGAAGAAAATTTCCTAGGTGATGTAACAACTTTCTTAGGGGAGTTCAATTTTTCTGCCAAAAACAAATTACATTTAATAAGAAAAATTCTGAAATGTAAACAGGGGTCCTCCCTGGTGGCGCAGTGGGTTAAAGTGCAACACTATGAAACTATTCCCAGTCACTGCAGCATGAATTCAATTTCTGGCCAGAGGAGCGACCCACATGGCGGAGCAGACCTCTCCTATCTTGCTGGCTGCTCCCCTCAGCAGTGTACTTTGTTGATCTGCCTGTTTTGCTCTCCACTCTGTTTCTGGTGAATCCTCTCACCCCTGGTACCTCTGGTCTGTACCACAGTTCTGTATGCATAAATCAATAAATCTTTAAAAAATAATAAATAAAATGCAAAAAGATGGCAAGACTAAGTTATCTAGTGTACAAGTGGTATATACCTTAGTTATCCAGTTCAAATAATACAGAAATTTTTGTTGATCCTCACATTCATATACACTGTACATTCGTTATTAATGGTCATTCAAATAGTAGAGAAACTAAAACCAGTTACTTGTTAAAGACACTCTTTACCAAAGAAATATAATATTTTTTAAAGATATACTTATTTATGCATACAGAACTAAGACACAGGCCAGAGGTGCAGGGGCAGTGAGAGGATTCACCAGAGACAGAGTGGGGAGCAGAACAAGTAGATCAACAAAGTACACTGCTGAGAGGAGCAACAGGCAAGACAGGAGAGGTCTGCTGCTCCATGTGGATCACCTCCGGGTTTGAGGATCGAAGTCACACTGAAGTGGCTGCGGCCAGCTTGCAGTGCTGCGCTCTAACCTGTTGTGCCACCAGGGAGGGCCCAGAAACATACATTCTTAAAACAAATAATGATTATAATCCTTCCATGCACTTTCTTTACATCTGCCTTAGGTTAGAAAAGGCTGAAGAAAATGTGATAATGGTAGATTATTACTTTGTTGTCCAGCGGAAACAAAGCTGACAACTTATTTTGCAAGCAAGTAAGTTTTTCTGAGAAGCTATGGGATGGATACAAAGATAAATATAAATGACTTGATTCCCCAAAAGCTTGGGAGGTTTAATCGAGAGCATGTCTTCTCCTCTCTATTTATCCTGATTTATTTTTTACAAGTCCTAATTATTTTCATACTGTCTTAGAACAAATCTTCCAGTACCATTAAAGGCACACAATTCCAAAACCATGTCTATCTCTATGGATCTTGTCATATTTTTGAGATTGAAAATATCTTACACCATCGTTTCATAAAAATAGCACATTTTAACACAAAAAGGAGATTAATCTTAAAAATATTGCTTTAAAGGGAATATATTATAATTATTAAAAATGAAACAGTAGGCCCTCCCTGGTGGCGCAGCGGGTTAAAGCACTGCACTGAGAAGCTAAAGCCACTTCCGCATGAGTTCGATTCCCGCCTGCCCCGGAGGAGACCACATGGCGTGGCAGACCTCTCCTGACCCGCCCGCTGCTCCCCTCAGCAGTGTACTTCGTCGATCTGCCTGTTCTGCTCCCCACTCTGTCTCTGGTGAATCCTCTCACCCTCCGCATCTCTGGCCTGTACCCCAGTTCTATATGAATAAATAAATAAATCTTTAAAAAAATAAAAAAAGAAACAGTACTTATTTTGACATAAACCAAAGATTGCTTACTCATATCTGACAGATCAGTTCACAAATTCATTTTTTTAAAAGATTCATTTATTTATGCATACAGAATTGGGGTACAGGCCAGAGGTGTGGAGGGTGAGGCAGTATACTGTTGAGGGGAGTAACAGGTGACAGGAGAGGTCTGCCACACCACATGAGTTACCACCTTGGCTGTGGCTGAATTCATGCTATAGTGACTGCGATAGCTTCATAGTGCTGTGCCTTAACCCGTTGAACCACCAGGGAGGGCCCTCAAAAATTAATTTAAAAAAATACTCGCCAATTTTTACTTTAAGATGCTTGGAAGACTGACTAAATTTTATTAGTGTGTGTGTATATTTTGCAGAGAAGAGCTAGGGTATACCAAATGCTAGGGAGTGGTGTGCATGTGAGTCGGTTCACCAGAGACAAAGAAGGGAGCAGAACAGGAAGATCTACTGATACATACTGCTGAAGAGAGTAGCAGGCGGGTCAGGAGAGGTCTGCTGCACCATCTATGGGCTACTTCCCTAGCTGGGGATATAACTCAGGCCATAGTGGTGATAGCACTGAGATTTATCCTGTAGGCCACCAGTGAGGCCCATAATTTTATTAATGCATAATTACTCACTAAAGTAGTTGAGGACAGAAAAAACACTTGAAGAAATAATGGTTAGGGCCCTTCCTGGTGGCACAGTGGGTTAGAGTGCAGGACTAGGAAGCTGTTGCTACCACTGAGGCACAAGTTTGATCCCTGGACAGAGGGGTGACCTACATGGCGTGCGCAGATCTCTCCTCAGTAATGTACTTCATCAATCTGCCTGTTCTGCTCCCCACTCTGTCTCTGGTGAATCCTCTCACCCCCTGCAACTCTGGCTTATACTGCAGTTTCACATAAATAAATAAATAAATAAATCTTTAAAAAAAAGAAGAAAGAAATAATGGTTAAAAGTTCCCTAAATCTGGCCCTCACTGGTGGCGCAGCGGGTTAAAACACAGCACTGAGAATCTAAAGCTGCTTCCGCATGAGTTCAATTCCCGCCTGCCCCGGAGGTGACCACATGGTGTGGCAGACCTCTCCT